ATCTTCCCAGGTATCGATGATAGCTCCTTGAGCAAAGTTGAGAGCTATTGCCGATCGAAGGCCGAATAAGTTACCCGTACGTGGAAACAAGATCTGTCGCCGGTGGCCCGATGATCTCCCTCTCCCCGTAGGTTCGAGGAAGCTGAATGTAGACGGAAGTAGCGGAGAGATTAGCGTCATGGCCCGGCGAGGATCGTGTCGTCAATCATTCGCAGAGGACTAGGTCGTTTTGGAGCCTAACGGCAGGAAGACACAGGAAAGCGATATCGGCCAGAAAGCGGGAGGAGAGGACTCAGGCACGAGTTGGGCTGGAATCTGTCGCGAGAGGAGGGAACGCGCTCGCAGACCTTACCAGTGGCGGCGCCAGCCTCGTCCTTTCGGGAAGCTTGAATTCCCAAAGACTTTCCTCTCCTCCCGGAGACTTTTCGCTCTATGAAGGTACTCTCGATGCACTTCGAGCCGCGACCATCATTGTGCTCGAAGATGCATATTCAGTGGAGTTTTCAGAAGCACACATGACGTGCTTCCCTCGGGGAGGGGAGATGGCGATCCGGAGTCAAGGCGCTACCTCGGGTCATCTCTGAATTTCTGCAGTCATTTCTGTCTCATCAATCTGTCTTCCCTTAAGCCTTTTGGATATCGTCAAACAACTGCGGCTCGGCTTGACCATCTCAGGAGCCTAGTATGAGGTAAAGACCAACCGAAGTGCTGAAGATGTTCCGGTTTTCTCTCAAACAGATCCCCACGGATCAATATGTGAAAGCAGCTCGAAATTCCCGGGGTCAGCGTTTTCATTCGGCACGGGCATGGCGAAACCATGTAAGATGCCCTACGAATTCGACGAAACAAGCGCTTCTGAATCTGGAGTTCTGGTTCAGACGATAGCGGATATCTCCCGAATTCAGTTTGTGAGTAGCGCGGAAGACTGCTCGCTACCTAATACGGCAGCCAGCTACTCTGAAGATGCCGGAGTAGATCCGTCGGGCCGGTCGAGTTTGACAATCGAAGGGGATCAGTGTGACTCAAGCGGAAATAAACGTAGATATATGTCCGTACATGATACATACTACGTATTGATTGATAGGAATCATTTCAATAATTTTGATCCTATGAAGCACCGAGTCGAGTCGATCGTCCGTTAATTCAAGAGTTCTAGTCCCGATCACGGGAAGCGCACCCGCACGAACGTTGTGGACTGTGCAGTCTCGAAATTGGATTCAGCTCCTGTTTCTCCTGCCGATATCTGAGCTCCCCACTCAGTGAGCTCTCCGACATGGAATCGTGCCAATTTTGCCAATCTCCATCGTGGATACCGTTTCCCTGCATCGGTATGCAACCATCAGATTGAAGCCAAGATATCTCTGCCCAGTAAGCTCTTTGTGTGGAGGAAAGTTATCACGGGGCTCGACATTCTGCCGAATGTTTACACTGTTCTCGGTATGTTTACACAGTTTTCGCAATACGGTGTTGTTGGTCGGTCTCCCCGTTCCATGAATTTCACGTAAACGATCCCAGACTCTTCAAATGTTCGTTATGATAACGCCGACTAGCTCTTCTCTCGCTTTAGTTCCGGAATCATCAAACACATCTTGCGGAGGTGTCTCAATTCAAACGTCGACCCGAACAGAGAGCATCCGGACCTGATTATTCTTGGATGAGGCTCCGAGAATATGCGGTGGTACGATTTCTGGAAGAAGAAGCGTAGTTTGCGGATCAAGCTCGTTTCACTCGGGCAGTCACGCAGCATGTCCGAGCGGATGTACGGGACGTGTTGCAGCAGGGAGAACAATACGAGGCGCTGACGAAGGCCGGGACTCCATGAAGGAGTGCTTGGCTTTGTGGTCCTTATCTCCTCGACAAAAGACCTCGTACCTTACCGCTCTCTCGTCGCTATCAGCGGCTAATGATGGGGCAATTAGCCACCCCTGCCTCTCGGATCTCTGCTTTGTCCGGGAGTGTGACTCCTTCCCCGTGAGATTACTACGGGGACCACCGTGGAGGAATGCATCGCTCAATTTCTAGAATGTAGAGAGCTCTCGAATACGATGGATTCCACTCAGCAATCACCTGCCGAGCGAGGCGTAGTGAGTCTCAGGTGGACCAAGGCGAGGCCCTGGCTTGATGTCCTCGGAATGTCACTCCAGATGCCCTTTATGCCGTCCTCCGATCTCTCGATGTTTGTTTTTTGGGTCGAGTCCTAAACCGAATACACCGGATACACCCGCAGGCGTATTCCCTGGGAGGGAATGTCTATCATCCGATCGTGGGAACAGGTGGTCTGCTCGACCATCGAACCCCCATTCGGCAAGTTCTGAATCCTCAGAACAGCTATGCGCCAAAAGGGAGCACCCCACCCCATTGGGCGAAATATTTTTCATCCCGAGAAAAAAACGTCAGATAGCTGTCGGTTCGGAACAGAGTTCACGTGAACCCTCCGAACTTGAGGAGACTTACGGTAGCAATGGATGTTCCGCCTTCGGATTGTGAGACTGACTGGCACGAGGTGAATGAATCTTCGTGCAGTACGTGTGGTCGTAGCTCCTCGAATGAGTTCGAACCGAGCCGTAAGCACGGTTCTCATGATACTCTCAGTCAGCTAATCCACCGGCGCTCGCTGGAAGGTACAGTATCACGTCATGTGATCTCATGCCTCCGGAATCGCCCTAGAATTAAAGTACTTACCTAGAACCTCAATTACATCGAGCTGGATTCTGGTATTAACTCCCCGGGCTATTACCTTAATTACCAACTCCACGATGCTTGACTCTTGATTGCAAGCTGTTCTCATGGAACCTCGGTCATATCAATCGTTTTTGACAATCTTCTTCCCTTGATATGAGCGAGGCTCCATTCTATAACCCGTTTTGAGCTTGCTGATAGGACTTAGCTCTCTGGAAACGGGCGCGGGGGAGAAGGTGGGAACCGTGAAACGGCGATTAGTCCCCCGGGGAACAATCTTTGCTCCCGGGCTATATCTGTTTTTTCTTTCATATCGGCACCATGATCATCGTCGATCCCTATCGAGATTGCTTGCAGGGATTCGTATCTTAGGGTGAGACAGAAACTCTGCTACGGACTATTCGTGAGGGAAGTGGATCCTCGGCACCCCCAAATGAATCGATTCTGAGATTCCTCTGGACCGAGCGTCATAAGGTAACGGTTTCTCCAATGAGCTATCGATTGCTTGAGCGCCGAAGAATTACATCTAGCGGCACAAAGAACAACTCTAGTTTTTCGGCTTATCCTTATTGAGTTTATTACCTGAGTCGTGACACTAGTCTTACAGGTTCTATCGGGAACGAGGCAGTCCAGATGTTTGTTTTCCGTATTTTCCAAAATATCTAGCTTACAAAACACGCCAGATTTACTTTCGTCCTTCTCATTCCGAGTCCTACGCTAATGTGTCGCCGTTCGTAGACTCCGTGCGAACTACGACAAAATTACAAATATCGGATGATACGTGATTAAATAACACATTCGTCCTCCAAGGAATCGCCGAGCTCGGTCGGACTCCCCAGTGAGAATTGTCTCGACCAGCCGTATAGCACGATGATCAGAGAGGAAGGTTAGAAACTATGATTACCCGTTATGATGGAATGTTGTTTTCATTTTCCGTTTTTCCGAAGTTTGATGATGAATAGGTCATTGAAATGTTTCGTTCCTGGATATCATCGCCATTCGAGGTTTCTGTATAACATCACATTGAAATGACTCATGTCACTTCACCCGAATTACATAGTATTTTCAAAGTTCGGATGGAAAGAATCGCTAAACTACGGCTCCGAAACATGGTTGTCTGTGTGTTTCACATTTTGGTTCGAGAATGACTCAGTCTCCTGTCGCCCCCTAGCGAGGTGCATGATTGATTCCATGATACAATGAATTAGGAAAAAAAGCTACTGATACCATGCTACGGAACTACGAGAATTTCCAGTACGTCTGGAAAAATGTCTCCTATTGTCCACCCTCCCTCACACTCATTCGCAACTACGACAACCTTCCTAACAATGATTTCAATGACTGGCAGTGACTAAAGCATCCAAACATGCGTACGCGAATCTCCATCCAAATATGAAAGTGGAGCAGGTATCCAACTTCTGATCGTATCACGCCGTATGAATGTGGGGCAGTACGACGTCTTGTCGAGCGCTCTCGTTTTTTAGCGGAAAAGAATTTTCCTTCGCGTGCACGACTGAGGAAAAAATTTCGTGAGTCGTTCCAAGCCCCGAAGCTCGTGGATTATGATTTGCTCTCTGAGACGTCGCGGAGTTGAAGCTCCGGTTCTCAACGCATTCAGGAAGAGAATCTGCACTTGACTAGGTGCGAGACTATACAGCGGGCCCGAAGGGTCCGATGATTGGTGTGATGAGAATCGATGAGACCGGGACCAGCTCGTTGAAGCCAAGCTCACAACCGAGCTCCTCGGGAGGAGACTGCAAAGTTCCTCGATCTCGTTCGTATGGAAAAAATTACCGACGTCGGCTATCCGGTGGTCCACCGAAGCGTGATCTTCTCTGCAGAGGGGGGCTGAACTGGCTCAGCGACCGCGTGCGATATTCTGATTTGCGATCAGCCCTCCGACTATTTTCCGGCTCACTCGGAGGCGATTCGAGTGCCGCGGATGATGGATCGTCGCCGATCCTTCTCCTTATCTCTCCCCTTCCATTTCCTGCTCTTCCGACCTCCTCGTTGTGTTAGTTTTGCAAGTGGCAAAAAGCTGAAGCGTCAAGCGTGTTGTTGAACGTAGGCTTCAATTCTGAACTTGTGTAAAGGGTTCCGCCGCGAAGACAACCCGCGCGCTCAGCTGTGCGCTGCAGAAACTGTCGTTGAGTGAGCAATATGCACGGATAAAACGAAAAGAACGAGTAAAGGAACCAGGAACTCAGACCCGTGTTGTGGCAACAACGGCAAAAATGTGGTTCTTCTGTGATTTAGCAACGAGCCAATCTCAGTCCTCCGGGACCTCATCTCTCAGAAGCTTTTTACCACTTGCACCTTTCCTAGTAAAGACTCGTTGGGTGCGAATAGCGAATATTAGCTTGAAGTTTGCCGATCTCCAGCTGGAGTTTCTGTCGTTCCAACTCGAGGTTCTCTTTCTCGAGTTCGAGTTTCTCCGTCTCCACAATGAGTTTCTTCTCTTCGAGTTCTATGCGACGGAGTTCCCGCTCCAGTACCATCTCCTGGAGTTGTTCGACCCGTCTCTTGGAACCTCCTCCTTGCGAGCCGACAGAGGACGCCGGAGGAACGGACGAGCCGTTTACGTCGCCCTTCGCGGGCAACGGAGCCGCCGGTGGATCCGTCGTATCATGCATAACGTCCGGTGGGGCTGCAACATGGAGCACCGTTAGAGGATACGTGACATTGTTGCGACGTCCGGGATTGGCTGTTTCGAACATTTTTCAACTTCGACACCGTGGAGTCGAATATGGATAATCTCGAGCATCTCGGCGAGTTATGGCGTGAGTCATCCGGTTATTATGCAAGGCATACGGTCGAGCGGGAATATCGTGAATCAATTGTTAGTGAAGAGTGCCATCGCGTAAAGGTACACGCATGGACAAGAAGACGGCACCATCCGGATGAGACGTCGCGACGTTTTAGCGAATCGTGTTCTACGCTCTGCGAGATTTCTACGTTCGACTTATCGAAGATTGCGCGGCATCTGTCTCGTAGAGGTTTATGGAACATATGTAGATTCGAGCGTGTTTCTCCTTCGGAGTTGGACCTACCTCCGTGCACTTTGGCAGCACGCGTGACGCTGGATAATCCGTGCGACATCGTTTGCTGATGCTGAACACACCGGATGCAAGATACACAGGGCACACAGAATATTAGACCGAATCGCTTCCACGTACGCGAAGAAGCGCAGTCTAACCCTCACAAATCTACGGGATAGCACACGTAGGTTAGTATGAAATGCACAAGTCGCTTGGAAAAACTTGGTCTCACCGCAGCCTTCCCTCTCAACGCAGCGGGAGCCATTACGCGCCGAGGTGGAGTGAGCCGCAGCAGCAGCAGCAGAACGGAGCCGTCGGCCGGCGTGCTGGCTGGCTGGCCGGCCAGAGTCAGTCGGTCGCACCGGTGCGTTGGCGAACGGGTTGCTCGAATAGAGCGAGCGAGCGAGTGAGGAACCGACCATCCACCACCGAACCCACCCACCACCTTCCGGCCGAATACCGTCAGGCCGAGAGAGTCAGACCATTGTTTTAGGGAGGAGGGATTTAGGCAAGGACACACGAGCAGCAATCAGGACGATAATTCAGGACACAGTCGGCCTTCGGCTCAACAGCCCCTGAGTAGAGGAGGGTAAGTGGGGCGGACTTCGTCCGATCAGAGAAAAGCTCCACTCGCTCCACTCCACCAGCAACAGCAGTCTCGAACATACCTGGCGTTGGAGGCAAACTGTGTACCGAGAGAGGACTCGCGCTGACATCTTCAGAACACGGGGTTGCTGATCTTCGTTCCGGAGTGTACGACGCCGACGTGTCCTGCGAGGACGAACGACTTCCAGAGCCGGGAAGAGACTGGGCGCTTACGGACCTTGCCAACGTTGGTTGACGATTCAACTCAGATGACATGGTCATCACCTGCAGAAGGGAGAGGAGGAGTTTTGTTCGTTGCCGAAGAGAGTTCCATTAGAGTAAGCCGACTACTTTAAATTCAAGCCGGTGGCTGCCGCGACGACGACTCTCCCCAATTTATCATCGAGTCTTTCTCTTCTTCTGTCTAGTTTGTTCCCCGGGAAGCGGATGAGCAAAAAACCCTCGTGGCTTTCGCTGCGTGCAAGAGGGTGGATGACCTTGGGCCCGAACAGAGATTTGCAGAGGCATGAGCGGGCAGCAAGCCGAAAAATTCGGCTCATTCCAGCTTTCCATAAATCTTGCGACAACGCCGACGTTCCTAGAAAGGAGAGCTTAAGGGATGCCGTCCAGGGGAATGGGTGCGGCGAGGAACAACTACGGCCCCATGCAGTTTGCTCTTTGAAGAGAAAATCACGATTTGAGCTACAACATCACTTTATTTTTAGAAAACAACATCGTTTCAGATACAGAGATTTACAATTAATTAGCGATTTGCGGTCTTTGACACCATGGCTCTGCTCAAGGTTTCTGTTTGACTGGTGGCGGGGCCCGGAAGTCCCCGTCGGCTTTCCGTTTCGATCCCCTCGCCCTCATGCGAATGAATTGCAGAAGATCCGCCTGGTTGATGGGGTATTTGATTGAATCCCAGACGCCCACAGCTGTCTTGTAGCCGTTCGGGAAAGATTTGTCGGTTCGTTCCCGCATGATCACCCAACCCTTCCCCTTGAATTTGCATTCGACAATTTTCCCATCTAGAGCTCTGGCTTCGGGCGTGACCTTCTCGAGGTAGGACAACGGACCTCCGTGGTTTGCTACATACAAAGCACCGATCGTCTTGGGTAGCATGCCTTCGGAGCAGCCCTGCTTTTCGATTTTCAATTTGAAATCTATCGAATTCAGATGCGGTGGTTTCCATTTGAGTATTTCCGCGCAGCGACCGGAAATATACGGCAGCTTCACTGGTTGGAATATGACGCCGTCGATTTCGTGCGAAACCTGCGACTGGAATTTTTCAGCGAGAATTTTCTCTGTCATTTCAATTTCATAGAATTCTTTCTTGCGCAGAGCGAACGGCTCCTCCGCCATGTTTATGACGCCTCTGAGAGCGGCCTCCCGACGCGGCTCGATGATCTCCTTGAAAATGCAGTTCATGCGTATGTCGAACGGCATTTGGCCAACTGCATCCTTTCCGATGTGCACGATGTCATAGATGAGGTAGCGAGGAACTTTCCTGTCGCCGTCCAGATCCAGAACCATCTCTCCGTCCAAGACGGTTTTGTACAAATGACTCTCTATGTCTTTCCGCTGCGGGAATCTCAGCCCGTTGACCTTGAATACAGCGTTGTCCCGGTCCAAAAAATATATATCGTCCGGGCCATCGATAAGCATGAGATAGCGGGTCCCGTCCGCCTTCCAGCTCACCCTGTATTCTGCCTCTGCTAGTTTACACATATTTGAGCGACTCAACGAGACGGGCTGACTGCCGGGGAAACCCTGACGTTTGTATCCACAGAGCTTTGCCGTCAAGTCTTGCACTTGACTCGTTTTCGAATCGTCATCGAGAAAGCTCACGCCGGGAATACCCTCCATGAAGGCTTTGGACGCGGATGTGACGGCACCATCGTTGCCGGCTTCCCACAGAGGGCGAGGCGGGGCCTCGATCGGCTCCTCTTCCTCGTCGGGATCCCCATATCGTTTGATAAGGTCATCCATGTAGTCCTGTTTGTAAATTCCGGGTTTTCGAGCTTTTGCGAAGACAGCCACGGCCGCCCTCACGTCCCAATTCTCGTGTTCGACTAGGTAGGCGCATATAAGGAAGCCTGTGCGGTTGAAACCGTGTGTGCAATGAACCCCGATCCTCCTGTGGGGGTTCGACGCTCGGAACTTCGAGCAAAAGTCGATGAACCTGGCGGTGGCCTCCTCGTCGGGGCTCTCATCGTGACCCCGGCAAGCGATTTTCTCCACGTGGATATTGTTTCGTGCGAAAGAATCCGGCTTGTAGTACCTCGCCGAATTGGTGAGATCGACAACAGCGCCGATCTCGAGCTTACGCAGCTTGCTGAAGCTAAAAACGTCTTTCGGTTCCCAGCGGAGCCCGTCACTCGGGATATTGACGCCGAAGCGTTCGTCAAGCGGCGTTTTGAAAGGAACGAAGATGTCCTCGACGATAGAACCAATTTTTGGGCAGTGAAGCCATCGATCGGGAAGCGCTAACGGATCTCTACTCATATTCAGAGCTTTCGGAGGTTGGCTCAACTTCAAGGCAAGGCAGATCTGAAATGAAGAGAAGTACTTTAGAGACATCTAACGCCCACAAGTCAACTTCTCTCGAGCATTGCCACTGCCATCACCAAAACCTCCGCTGAATCCTCGTTTGCCGCTCTCCGCAATCTCCGATCGCTCCTTTCTTTCCAAGGTTCGATACGTTGTTTCATTGAGCAATCATCCTGCCGAAGGGGGGAACGGACAATCCGCGCTGGACCACAGACCTCGACCACCGAGCAAACACTCAGAAGCCCGAGTCTTTCTCCGATACCGCGGGAGAAATCGAGCGCAGCCCCCAACGGACACGAGAGAGTATCCAAATGTATCTCCCCGGGAAACCGATCGGCTTCAGAGCATTCCGAGGGACGTTGATTTTCCGAGGCGTCTAGTCTGACGTTTCTCTGGATGCCGTCCGCTCCGGTCAAAGGAGCTCGTTCGCATTCGGACATAAATTCGACGGTACCGGGAGGGAAACGAGAGCGTATTCGAGTGATGTCGGATGTCGATTTCTGATCGGAACACCTCCCGAAAGACGGTCAGGTCAGAGGAAGAAGCGAGCTTCCGTTTCACCGAAAGATGTATCGGTAAATGCGACGAAACGATTTATTGCTCTAGCAAATGCATCGCTGCGTCTTCCGAGGTGTATTTCCATCTTCCCATTAGGACAGACCTTGCCGATCGCTGTCGAGACGCCGTGATCGAACAGATCGAACCTCAGAACAGCGTCAGCGTGAAGCGACATTTCCGTAGACCTCTCCTCATAATTATGGAAGAGATCGCTCTGTTTCCAAGCAACGCATCATTCAAGCGGGCCCTGTAGGAAGAAGTCTACGCCGGATTCCGTAATCTAAAGCGAGAACGACCGAAATACCATCATTCATCCCTCCCTACCTCGACGGGGAAACCGCGCGAGGAGGCCATAATTTGTCGCTCTTCCAGATCACACGAACTGATGCGCGAGTCATAAACAGACCCAAATATTTTGGTCCTGCAAAAGGGCAGCTATGGCTCTTAAGTGAGAGATCATTTAGAGCTTGTTGAAAAGCGCCTTCAATTGAGGCGCCAATGGTAGTTTGATCTTCTCCCCTCGGCTTCCCTCCGAAACTCTCCTCCCTTTCCAGCCGCTCTCTCAAACACATCCATTGAAGCGGAGGGCGAAGAGAAATAATCGGCGAATCTATTTGCTCGTTCCATCATGAACGATCAGTTCAAGGGAGCACGTCAGGACAGAGCCCGCCTTCTCCGCTCCTACGCGAGGACCGCGTCTCCGAGCGGCGACGTACGATAAAAAGCACGAAATAGAGCGCAATAAAAGTCCTCAGAGTGCTCAAGTGAGTCTAGACCGGGATGCAGGGAGTTTCTATTCTCGGAACGGAGGCGCCGTTCCAGGAGACAATGAACGTGACAGCTTCGCTGTCGCCGTCGTCCTCGTCATGACAATGAAGGACGGCGCCTGGCGGTGGCGGAAAGTTTTTGTTTTCATCATCATCATCTACATAAAGAGGAGGTAGAAAGTAGACACCGGCTCGATTACTCTGCCCTCGGAACGGTGTCGACCCGAATGCCGCGAACGACGAAAGCCGCCTGCAGCGACCGTGAGGCCAAAAATATGACGATCAAGCAACCTCGCTGTCTCTTACGCAGCCATTCCGAAAACCTTGGAAATCTATTTCCGGGGAGAAAAAAGCGCATCGGACCTATCGAAATTCGCGGCAAAATGCAATCCAGGCTCGACCTTGTCGCTCTCCGGGACAGGGCAAGTTACGACCTCGCTCAACGTGTTCTCTACGGCCGAGACTCGATCTCCGCGGGCCGTCTCTCAGTAACGAGTATCGGAAATCGTTTGGAGATCGGATTCGTTGGATCAACTTCGAAGCGGAGCCTCGTCGGTCACGAGGAGAGATGTCCCCAAGCAAACTCTCTGCGGGTGATTCCGTAGGCCGAACGGGCCCATTCCGAGCTTATGTTGTCCATGGAGGGACCCGGAGGGTCATTTGTCGGATATTCGACGAGGCAACGACTCGAGCACCATCGACCCGCGGATGGGGCCTCCGCTTCACTCGGGAGCTTCCCTCGCAAGAGCCCAACACTCCAACCAATGGGTAGGATGAATGTCTCTCGCGACTGATTCACAACGTGATGGACTCCATCGGCTATGCGAGACAAACTTTCGGTGAGTTCTCGTGTATAGCAGAGGGACACCACGGGGGTCGTGCTTCCGAGATAGGTCCGAACACCGTCGACATGTCCATGGTTCCTGGGAGCTGGGAGCCCGTCCACGTGTCAGACGCTAGGGAGACTGTCAGCCGTAACAGAGCTCTGGAAGAAAAATTGCTCCCCTCTGGCCGACAGGGTAATCATTTTCCAGCCGCTGGCCTCTCCTTTCTCTTGTTCTTCCTCAGAGCGCCTACAAACGAGCGCTGTTCTTGCGCCAAGCAAACAGAGAAACAACAGCTGTAGAAAACGGCCCGCACAAAGCCGATTCTCAAAGCAAACGTCATTAAACTGCAATCGACTGTCCGACTAGAACCGGATCGAACAGATGAAAGACCGGCGGGAACCTACCGTCTGAGATTTACAGCCCAGATTTCCGATCGTCATGCGTAAATATCTCCCACCGATTCAGTTTTTCAAGATTCGGCACTTTTTTGTTTGTTTGTTTCTCTATCCGTTCAGGTGTTCATCGGGTCTTTCATTTCTCAGACAGATCTTTTCGCGACTGGCCTCGATCCCACTTAGCCGCCAAAATGAAGGTTGGGACTCCGACTTGGTCGCAGCATCTCTGAAACTCACAGCCACACAAGTTCAGCGACGAAACCCCAGTTTCGGAAACATCCGAATGTGGTAACAAAAACATGACACGCATCCCAACTCGAGCCGCAGCACAAGTCCACCAGATTTCAGTCACCTGGGTCCTGCGTCACCTTCCGACCGCCTCCAACACAACACCGGGGAACACGAGAGAATAACAGCAAATCCAATAAACTATTGTCCGACCTTTCACAAAACGGCGCCTTGTGGTAGCCCACACTCCGCGGAGGAGACATCTCTCGCCCGGCATCATTGTGTCGAGACCGATGGTCACCGAGCCACAACAACGTAATAGCCAGCATTTAAGAGGATTCTAAACGGGGCTCGAAGCGGAATTCTATTTTTGGACCATACGCCGTTCGAGGGAATATCGATGATAAGTCCAGCAGCGACAACCGATCGAGGAGCGAACTAGCGGGTGAGACATGCAGGACAGCAGCAGCACGAAGACCAGCAGGATGGATCTAGGCAAGGAGACGGCTACGAAGCGAAATAATGTGCAACACAGAGGTAAGGGCAAATTTCTCTCTGCGAGGAACTCACCACCGAGCAGAGCTCCCTGCAGGCATCAAGTTGCCAGTCCGCAAGCCAAGATCGGAACTCCAAAAGCTTGCGCGATTTTCACAGAATGATAAGCGAGAGTAACAATGTTTCCACACACTTAGTCGACTTTCGATCGCAACGAGTCGAACGGTCCCGTCTTTGCTGCTGCTGAAGCAGGCAGGTTAGCCGAGGCGATGGTGGCCCGAGATCTGTTGGTTGCGTCGTCTGCTACGCGATCTCTGGGTGGCGCGAAGTTCGAAATCAGAAGTCGGATCCGACGACTTCCAGCTGCTTGCAGGCTGCGAGAGAGAAACGTCAGGCTCGTAGAAGGAACCGTCGTCAGGGGATCGATGCAAGTGGCCTGAGGCATCAAAGCATAAGCCACGATCGAGTGAGACGGAGCTCCTCGCGCGCTCTCACTTCTGAACGGCTTATGTGGTGGAAGTCTAGCGCCATATTGCTCGCTCGGCGGGACTACCGTCCCGTGTACATAAGTACTCTTTCCACAAAGTTTCTTCAGCGAGGAAACGAGGGAAGGCCTCTCCTCTGTCTTCGAGGGTATCCCCTCACCAGCAACTCTACGCAGATGACATACTCGAGTCAGGACCCCTCAAAGTTAGCGCCCACGTCGGTTGGGAGAGAGATAAACGTGAATTTCATCCGGTGATCCCTGCCGCTCGCACAGTCTGTCCCGTCATTCAGTGCAGAAAGATGAACGAGGAATAAGCCGAGAGAGAACGCTCCCTTCATTCCTCCTGATGCTTGGGCGCCCCTGTCTATCATCATCACGGTGTCGTCAACAGCCGACCATAGGCGCCAAATTGTTTAATGGCGACCATGCTCTCGAACAGAATGCGTCATACATAGATACTGAAGGGAACTCGCTCGGGGCACACCTTTCGAATAGAATGCTCCTCTCGCCTTTTCTTGATAATCTGCGGAAAAATCGACATGTTCTCAGTCCGGCAAACTTGCCATTGAGACACATCGCCGCCGCAAGGCTCCATCATCCGATTCAAATGACAAATGAATCCGGAGGCTTCTCATCAAAGTCATTGATGGGCGAGACGGGGTCCAGGACTTCTCGTTCTTTGGAAGCTCGTGACTCGCGGAGATGTTCCGGAGCCGAGCGGCCGGCTGTCGAGTACCGCACTTCATGGGCCTGCTGGGGCTCTTGAGTCGGCGCCAGCTCCGCGTCGCAGTGATGCTCGTGATGCATGCGTCAGGATGCGTAATGAGACAGTCACCGACCTGGGCGCCTCGATACTATCCCATGTCTTCTCCGAATCACCGTCGGTATCCTCGTAGAGATTGCGCTTTGTGATCTCCAACGATCTACATCCACGATAATGGAAACAAATTCTGTCTGTAACTCATGTCACGGTGTTCTGTACTGATGACCGATGTATGAGCTAGTGCAAGAAGTTCTGGATGAGATAACCCTTCATTTCGATGAGGAGTCGGCTGAGCCAGCCGGGCCTCTTTTCCGATCCTGGCATCAGCTTCTCGCTTTCCTCCGGTCTCGATGGTACATCGGGCTGCCGATCCATCGATTTCGCGTGACCAGGAATGATATCACGGGTAGGCTCGGGAAGTAGACAGCGACCCTCGCCTGCGATCTCCCCTATCTAGCGAGGTAAAGCAGGTCCCGATTTCGATTCTACAGCTTGCATAAAATGTTTTTCGGTATCTGCTCTTAGAGGCAGCCCCTACGACCGACCCATCCATGTGGGCAGGATAGTCTAAGCGGGAAACGATCATCGATATTTCGGAGTATGCCTCTAAGGGCGCCGGTCTTGACATTGGAAGGATCAAACCCGCCTCGGACCTCCTTACAGAAGGGACATCTTCGTCTGGGACCGGGGGCTAGAACTGATAGGGCCTCGAGGACGCAGAGGAAGAGACGCCTCTCGACCATACTGTTGTTCGCAGCAGAAATCATAGTAATTCTTCGTCTTCGGTTTCTACATAATTCTACTTGTCTCTCAGCAGCAGCCGCAGCAGGCGGGAGACAGAGAGACACCTTGACGAAGGTGGGATTCGGTTCGCCAGCTTTTACGAGAACTTCAGGTCGCTGCAAACCATGCGTATGTTGGGTCTATGGGAAGAGCGAACGAAAACGACGCCGGACGCAATCGCGCTCGTCTCGAAGCCGTCGATTTGTGATCTTTGCTAAAATTCAGGCTGGAATCGGGGGGTGGTCCTCTGCCATCGTTCTCGTCGACGGATCTCACCGATCAAGGTGAGATCCGCCGTGATCACGTATGATCCGACGGGATTCACCGTGAGCCATCGTGATCGGACGTGATCTCGGGTCATCCAACGCGAGTGAATATCAGTGTCGAAACATGGTGGAAGGGGCCCCCCGATTCTTGTTCAAACTTCCGGCAAAGATCACAAGCATCATTCTAGCTAGTCTACGCCGCTCTCCCATCGGCAGATTCCATTTTCGTGCAATTTCACCCCGCGTTTTTCTTGTATGCATTTGTCAAAGACTTAATGTACGTACAATCGCAGACTACCTTCAGCATACGTAAGAGCGCACGGAAGAACGCCGTACGAAGCGCTTAACCGTGCTGGCTGATTTTCATGTCAACACACTACCGTCACACAACTCTTAAACCCGTAATAGCTGTGGTTCACCAGAGAGAGGGGAGAAATATATATCTCGTTCCAATCCTTCCAGCGGTGTTCGCTTGCCCAAGAATACATTGAGTGATAGGACATCAGCAAGAAACAGGTTCGTGGAATCGTTCGGCTTCCCTGAGAAGAAGCATCTTGCGGCCCGTCGTAATTAGGTAGCTGTCAATGACGCCGATGCCTGCGGAAGACTGTTTAAACGATTGGTGAATTCCCGAATCGCCACATCGTGGTTACTCCGACTCTTAGAATATCTCTAGGCCAACTCAAAGGCGAGGAAAATTATTTCGAGATTCCGGCATTAGTCGGAAATTGTGGACGTACTGGATCGATTACTCTGCTCGATTCGATAGGATCGCATCAAGGCATATGGCGTGGCATTCCGTGAGCCGAATTCCATGCGGTAGACATGCGATTCGAGCGCGTCGCCGAACATTCGCGGAAGTGCGTCGGAGACTCCCTGTCCTATCCTGCGAGCTAGGTGACCTAGTTAGTTAGTTCGACTCGCGCTGTCTGGAGTCTAGAGGACCCTGTTGCTATGCTCCAATGCTAACGGAGGGAAATCGTCTCTATGGTCTCTTACGTATCTTTCATCCTCCTGACATAGGAGGGAGGAGGCCTTCTAGGAGTCATAATCCGGCACTTCTTGTAACGTTGCGCGGGCAGGGGCGGCGACCCCGGGCGTAGCAAGCGTAGAACCCGAGCGCGAGAACTGTCATCGAAAGTCAACGTTTCGTTTCCGTTTTCAGATGGGATACGAGCTGGCCCGTTTCGTCGAGGGGGGCTCCAGCGTCGATGAGGAGCTCATATGCCCAATATGCTCTGGGGTTCTCCAAGACCCTGTACACACACCTCAATGCGAACACGCATTCTGTCGGGAATGTATCAAGAAGTGGCTCGACCGCAGCCAGGCTTGTCCTATTGATAGATTCTCTATCACCGCTCAACAGGTAGAATCTGAATTCTATCTTATCCGATCTTCCAGCCTGTGGAGTTCCGAGGGTTCCCACTTGCGGAGCTCATTGTTTCGGCGATCCTGCCTAGTGATTTTCGCATGGCGTTCCATTTACAGCTCAAGCCAGTCCCGCGCATCCTGCGGACCCTTCTGGCACGTCTTCAACTCAATTGCACGTTCCAAGAGCACGGCTGCCAAGCTATACTCAAACTGGACAGATTGGAGAGCCATGAGGCCGAGTGCGAGCACAATCCATGTAGACCGGTGCCTTGTACGGAAGGCTGTGGCCTTGTCGTGCCTAAGGACGAGCTTCGAGTGAGTAGCCGCGAGTGGACCTTTGTTCCCTCGATCATCGAGTGCTCATTTCATTTCTTGCTCGCTGTGAATCCTGGCCAAATGTCACGTCGGACCTCACAACACAATTGATATTATTGTGCAATTGATATTCCGATGCACGGAGACGATCCGAGGGACCCCTCGTAGATGTTGAATCCGAATGATGATTCCAGGAACACAACTGCATCCGGGAACTACGAGGAGTCGTCCAGAAGCAGCAAGCGAAAATTTCCGAATTGGACCAGGAGCTCCAGAGCCATTGGAGAGAAATCAATCGGATGAAAGAGTTTCTAGCTCCGCGACAAAACGGCCTACAACCCCCCCTCTCGGATGGCGTTTTGCAAGAGAGGCAAGACCAGGTAGGTCTCCTTCTTGACCTCAATTCCTCTATCGTGTTCACCGGATCACAGACCGACGGAAGGAGGGCGATCGTCTCGTAAAGGATTGACATCCGCCTCGCTTGTTCCTCCTCCTCGGAGACGGCTTGAGAGAGCGTCTTATCTTTGGGGATGACGTCATCCGCAGAACCACCCGGCAGACGTATTCCGGTGGAAGATAGAAATTCGACACAAGGATGTCCGCGGAATCCGTAGTCGGATGATATCCAATGAATCCGATTCACCCCCGATACTTACGACCGCCTCGCGCAATCGAGCTCGGAATCATTCTGAGCCGCCTCCGATAACTTCGGGGAACGTAGCGAGGATACTCCCGATACGGAAAACTAGGTCGAGATTCCGATCTCTACCCGTGGAATAGAACCACTGATAGCCTTGGGAGAGGACAACAAGCTCCCATAATTTTTCGTCAGTGGTTGGCTTCAGGTGCCCCTTCCGTCTCGGTGAGCCGTCAAGGCTGTCTTAACGAGACGGGGAGAGCTGGACTAATTTTGAATTAAACATTCCTGAAATCATCTGGAGCTTGTATGAATCCGCCTCATTTTGCAGCTGATCCAGTGGTCGGCCACCCTGACGGAAGCGAGAGTCACTCGGTGGGGCGGCATGATCTCCACCCCGGATCAAGTGCTACAGTCCATGGTGAAAAGGGCTCTCGTTGACAGCGGATGTCCCCCGACGGCAATCCACGAGTTAATAGAAAACGCCCATGAGCGGAAATGGCCAATCGGACTCCATACCTTAGAAACCAGACAACGAAATAGGAGAACTTACGAAAATTTTGTTTGCAAAAGAATCCCCGGCAAACAGGTACGAACAAAGCTTCAATGTACGATTCTTCGCCCCTGTCTGATAGGGACCAGAGACAGACGCTCGAGACTGTCCTCCGGCTTCGCTGGACTCTTGGCTCAGTTTTTTGAATTTTCGTTGTCAGAGTGTCTGGACCGTCGAATAATGATTATTTTGTCTTGCAGGCTGTGGTGGTGCTGTCATGTGATAATGTCCACATGGGACCGGAGATGATCATTCATCCAGGTTTAGTCATGATTTTCGCTCATGGAATCGAGTGACTTCATAGAAAGTATTCAATCAGTAGACGACCGGCGTCACGTCGAGTTGCTTCGGGAATTTCGCCCAAGTGCTGGAGCGATAGGACAAAAAATATAGTATTCAAACACTCAAAGTTTCCGAACGAAAAACTCATCTCCACCTGCGAGCCCGAGGCTGGTTTTCAATCTTGATATACCGCCAAGGAGAAGGCGCTCGGCGGCGAGCGAAACATCAGCGATGAGCTTCGCCGGCTATCGAAAATTCATACGAAATACAGACAGCTGCGGTCAGGGACGAAAATATTTCGGGAGAGCGATCGGAGAAGCATCGTCTGGATCAATTTCGAGGACCATACTCATTCAACATCTAGCCACCGGATCTACCTCCCCTGTACTCCATTTTTCGAAGCCTAATCGTTAGCGGAAGCGTTGACTCAGGACAGCAATAGTTGATCATCATGTTTCCTGCTTCGTTGAGATGAACCGCTCGAGCGAGCTGCCACGTCACAGCGAAACTACGGATAGTGTACATTGTTTTGTAAATCGAATCTCATGTTTGATGTGTGAGTGTATGCTGAATGACTGTTAAGGGTGTGGGAGATGTACCAATAAAGCGGGAAACTTCCTATCTTTTCGATTCCGATCTCTCTTCCTTGAAAATTGCGAAATCGCAGAAAATGTCTCCACGAACCAGCGGGAAACGGAGGGAAAACAATTCGGGCATAGATAATTGAAACTCGTCATTTGGATTGCGGGAACCCTGTGGAATTCAGAGTTCCCTACAGATTCCCCTCGACATGGCTTTGTGTAATCGAGACGGTAAAATAATTCCTCTCGATCTCGGGATCTGATGCCAGAACCATTCTCGATCGAAGCTCGGTCGATGGTCGATGATTGAGCTACCCCCGACCTTGAGCGATTCCTTCGAAGTTTGAGGCTTCCGTCTACTTTAACTCTCTATTCCACGGTCCGCAGGCTACGGACTGCTGGAGTTTCGGTGATGAAGAGGGAAAGCGAATAAGTTTTGAGCGTCGTGGGACCTCGTAAGAACTCCGGACGAGGAGGTTCGAGCGTTTTTAATTTATCCATCTACAAATCGAAAACGTTTCCATTGGCATATGACGGTCCGGAAGGACTAGACTCCGGATCCGCGATCGAGAGGGGTCTGAAGGGAGTCGAGTCGCGATCGTGGGCGACGCTTGAAACGTCGACTTCTTTCCTGGGTGAGCTGTCCGAACTACTGCTCTCTCTGCGGAAGAAAGCCGAGCCCAATAGAAAAATCTATCCGAGTCGTATTAGATTCTCTCGAGCTCATAGGAATCTCTTCTCGAGAAGAGCGAGAGCGAGCTCGCCCGAATCGGGGGAAAGCCAAGGCGAATCGAGTTCCGCATAGAAACAAGACCTGAGAACAATCCGACGGGTAACCGAATCGACTCACCCTGTTCGATGGCCGTGACCTCTGTCTCGTGACCGGGGTCGCCGGTGGTGATGATCGGGCGATCGTCTCGACCTGTAACGCGATTCGCGGTCCCGAGAGCTCTTCGAGCCACGGGAATGACTATAATAGCGCCTATCATAGCTGCTCCGTCGTCGGCTCGAGCTCCGAGATCGTCGACGTACAGGGGATCGCGAATACGAGCGGAGCACACGACGATCCTCCCGCGCCCGCATTTGCCGTGGTGCTGTAATTAGTAGTGAATGGCAATGACCTCTCGGGAAGTCCGAGCGACTCGGAGCTTCGGGCTGCTTTTCAGAGCTTTGATTCGAGACTTCGAGTCTTTTCAATTCAATCTCTCGGTGTCATCTTTTCGCTACCTTGACCGCGTCTCTACTAGCCGAGTCTTGGAAAGCCTTTATCAATCTACGCGATACATCAATTAATAGATGGGCCGAGAATTCCGGTCAAGATCCGAGGTACGCGCCTGAACACAGCGCGTAAGTCTACGCGTATCAGCAAGCCTCGACGTGAATATTTCCCCAGAGAAAAAGGCCGTCTTCCACTCACTTTTGCGGTCACCCTGAGCGAATTCGACTTCAATTACTCGACCGTGGAACCTGACGCCGTCCATCGCGTCTCTCGCGTCCTCGGCGTCGCGAACGGACTCGAACTTGTCATCGAAACAAAGTTAAGGAATATTGTGCGCTGTTATGGCAGCTCCGCGCACAGACGAGGAGTCGAGATGTAAATACACGATGTATATATATAATAATATAGATGGGAGTCGAAATAAAAATGTACGACCGAGAAACAATGAAAAATCAAATATAAAACGGAGGTACTTATATACGAAAAGAGGAATTCGGGAGAATAAGACCGCCCCCGATGGCGGAATACATGCATTAGAACTGACTCACACTATCAGAGGATAGTGATATAGATGGGAGCCGAAATAAAAATACACGATGTATATATATAATAATATAGATGGGAGTCGAAATAAAAATGTACGACCGAGAAACAATGAAAAATCAAATCTAAAACGGAGGTACTTATATACGAAAAGAGGAATTCGGGAGAATAAGACCGCTCCCGATGGCGGAATACATGCAACAGAACTGACTCACACTATCAGAGGACAATGCGGAAGCGTACGACAATCAGCAAGCTCGGGGCAAGGCAGAAAACAAAGATCGGTATCTACGAGACAACTAACCACCGAGCGGTCGAAAGTTTCGATCGAGAGATGATTCGGTGGTTGCGCAAGAGGGCTTGCTTGTCTGGCCGACACAATCTCTAGATAGCGAAAGCTCCTTGAGAGCGTTTCAGATGAGTTCTGAGGACAAACGCTCCAAGGAGCGACCATCAAATTCTTGAGTCTTTCTTGCGGGTCTTTCCGAGTCGGTCTTTGATCTTGCTCTTGCCCCTAAGACTTGCTGTCGTCTAGCTCGCGTCATTGACATCTGGAGAATGAGTCCGGAGTTATACAAGCGGCCAGGAGGCGAAAGCATTCGCCCGATTTTGAAAAAATAATGATGTGATTGTAGGATTGTAGGCGGAGAAATTTCGTTCTCTCGAGGAACGGAAAGAAAGGACGAAAGGAATCAATGAGCGAGATCAAAAAAATGGGTGTCTGCAGGAAAAGGATATTGTACGTAGGCGAAGCCACGGGGCCGGCCGGTATGGTATGCCAAGGGAATGTAAACATCCAGCAGAGGTCCATATTTCCCGAACACCTCACGGAGGTCGTCGCTCCTAAAAAGATCCATCATCAGTATCATTATTTCATCATACATCGGCACTCGGCACAAGGATGAGTCGCTTGCTGAAATGGAACGCGTTTACGTCAAGACGCGACGACGATGTTCTGCCTCACTACATTAGATCTCGAAGTTCATGTGTCGCACGGTAGCTCGGAGAACTCCTGCGACCGCGGATCTCGCCCCGGACTCATGGCTCGATATCGATGGGACAGCACGATAACTCTTCGGGAATCCGAAGACCCAGCTGTGTCTGACCCAGAACGGGATACGATCTCTTCTATGAATAACTCGTCGCCGAAATCACGCTTCGAAATTATGAGGGGCGATTCCCGGACCAGTGCCAGTCAATCCAGGTCCTCGGTTCAAACATTGGAACCTTTTAAGAATCGGCGACATTGGGAGGCTATAGCTTCTGGGTGTAGTGGGAACGCCGGAAATTCCAGGAAGTCAGAGAAGGAACTCCCCGAGCATCACGGCTAATCCCCGGTATCGCTCCGAGACGACCGGAGCGGTCCCGTCCAACCGAACGCGCTGGAGTCCTACTGCCGTGGAGTGAACAAATAGAACGGAGCCCAGGAGCATCGAACTTTTCACAAAACATAATGCGGAATTCGGGGAATTGGGGATCCTAGAATAATACCGGCCGTCTGCGGATTCAGAATTCAAAGAGACTTGCCTGGTACTGTCTGAAACATTTCTCACAAATAAGGATGCTGAAGGAGCCCCATTGCGGTACATGATGCAGCCGCCACAAGACGAGGAATTCGAGCGCGCTATGTGCGTGTTATATTCGTTCTTCCAATTCGACGTGGCTCAAAAAAGTGAGACAGCGCCCCCTGTGCACGACGAATTCTCGGCATTGACAGCAAGCGAGGAAAACGATGTTCAAAGAGTCAACGACATTCGCTGGATTCGATGGCGGGAGGGTGTCGATTGACTCTCGGAGAGATCCTAATTAGAAGACTTGACCCACGCGGCGTTCTCTCCATCGCCACTAATGCCGATCCGTCGGAGAAACGGATTCACTCCCTCACTGGGGTGCAAGTCGAAACGTCCGGAGGACGCAACTTGGAATATATGTAGATGAAAGGTTTCCTCCCTATAGAGCCGCGTCCGGTGACGTGGGATCATTTAGGTCATCTTTTGAGAAGTTGTGAACCTTCCGTGTAATCTGAGGCCTCCCAGGATGCGCAGTCTAGTATTCCACATCCTACCGGAGATTCATGGACTGTTTATGGGAACGCTCGTATTGGAATCTCCAACGCTACGGAGTATGCCAATGAGGAGCCTCATCGCAGAAGATTTTTGAACGCCATATACATTCCCTTGAACCCTACGCACGCCTCCCGAGAGTATCTTGATTGAGCCCTCCGATGCTGGCGCGCAAGGGCCCAGCCAGCACGGAGGACCATGATGGCAAGGATCGGAGTCGAGACCCGACCGTGAGTGGCTCACCAATCCGTTCCCAACCATATCGAGAGAATTCATTCCCATGAGCGTGGACGAATTGGGATTCCCATGCCTATGAGATCACAGACCACGATTTGTCCTCGCAGTCTAATCTGAAAACACTACGCTTCACGCGAAAACCAAGACTTCCACTCCGAGAACATTTTCGTCCTACGAGCTTGCCCCGGCCGGACGTCGTCGTCGCGGCCTCCGGGAACGGCCTTGTTAGCCGCGCGAGGGATGTTATCTTCCTGTGGTAATCAACTCGATTATGTAGCTGTGACCGGCACTTCAACTGTCTCCAAGCGGGACCGCCGGGTCACAATAAGTCTGTCCTCTCGGTGTGAGGTGTATCGTAGGCGAGAAGGGAAGGCCGCGGCGGTCTCGAACTCCGGGGCAGAAGAGTGAATCCAGGTAGGTGGTCGGTTGTCATGAACTCCGGGTTCATCCATTAACGGCGCCGAATTTTCAAATTTAGCCGCCTTCCCGTTGAGGAGAGGAGAGGCGCATGAGGCACGACGAGAGACTTCCCGCTTTCTAAACATAAACATCGGACTTCCGAATCCTTCTCTAAACGCCGGCACTATGCGAAATAATTCGATTCACTGATCGTGATTTCTGTGGCGAGCGACAACTCGCGTGCCGGATTGTTAACTCTATTCGTCAATATACTTTGTCGCAGAGAAGAGATTGAATTAAGAGTTATCGAGCATAATGAGCGAAGAAGAGGACATCCTCACCATGAAGCCTCTCGGCGCTGGTCAGGAGGTGGGCAGGAGCTGTATGATCATTGAGTTCAAAGGGAAGAAAATCCTCCTCGATATGGGCATACATCCTGGTGAGCGGCTGCATACCTTCAGACGAATAGTTTCTATGGAACAGCTTGATCGATCCTACTCGATGGACCGTACGGTTCTCGAGCCGAAGCGCTACGCGCGTCCACTGACGTTTCTTTTCTCGATACGAAGGAATGAATGGAGTGGACGCATTGCCTTTCGTCGACCAGATCGATGCGGATGAGATCGACCTCCTACTCGTGTCCCATTTCCATCTGGACCATTGCGGAGCGTTACCGTGGTTCCTTCAGAAGACAACGTTCAAGGGACGGTGCTTCATGACACATGCTACCAAAGCTATCTACAGGTGAGTCGAGCTCGACTTGAGACTCGGGGAAGCTTTACCTCTCGCCGAGAGGATCTCGATCTCTTCCGCATTCGGGAAACTGACAGAGTTTTGTCCACAGGTGGTTGCTCGCTGATTGTATCAAGGTTAGCAATATTGGATCGACGAGTTCGAATAATCTATACACCGAAGCCGATCTGGAAGCCTCTATGGACAAAATCGAGGTCATTAATTTCCACGAGGAGAAAGAGATCAACGGTGAGAACTTCTCAATCGCACTGGGTCTCCGGTGTATTCCATCGGGGACTTCTCAGTCAGGAAATTTACGATGCGAGAGGAGGGGGGGACTCGACGTTTCGACCGAAGGAATTTCAATAACGATTCCTGAAAAGTTCCGGAATACGCATAACATATTGATGATGATGATGATAATAATAACCTTCATTCTTCCCTAGGGATTCGTTTCTGGTGTTATCATGCGGGTCATGTGCTCGGCGCAGCCATGTTCTTCATCGAGATCGCTGGGGTGAAGATTCTCTACACGGGCGACTTTTCCCGACAGGAGGATCGCCATCTCATGTCGGCTGAAATCCCGTCCGTGAAACCAGACGTTCTCATCATCGAGTCCACGTACGGAACGCATATCCACGAGAAGCGCCAGGATCGAGAACATCGTTTCACTCATTTGGTGCAAGAGATCGTCACACGAGGCGGTCGCTGTTTGATTCCCGTTTTCGCTTTGGGGAGAGCTCAGGAGCTGCTTCTGATCCTGGACGAGTATTGGGGCTTGCACCCCGAGCTCCACGACATCCCCATCTACTACGCGTCGTCTCTCGCCAAGAAATGCATGGCCGTCTACCAAACGTACGTGAATGCGATGAACGAACGGATTCGGCGTCAGATCGCCATTAGCAATCCTTTCGTGTTCAAGCATATCTCCAATTTGAAGAGCATCGATCACTTCGACGACGTGGGACCGTGCGTGATCATGGCGACCCCCGGCATGATGCAGAGTGGATTATCCCGAGAGCTCTTCGAAGCCTGGTGCGGAGACACGAAAAACGGCGTCATTATCGCCGGTTATTGCGTCGAAGGCACGCTAGCCAAGCAAATTCTATCGGAGCCCCAGGAGGTGACTTCGATGAACGGCCAGAAAATGCCTCTGAAAATGAGCGTGGACTACATTTCGTTCTCCGCGCACACCGATTACCAGCAGACTTCGGAATTCATCCGAGCTCTGAAGCCTCCGAACATAATTCTAGTTCACGGAGAGCAGAACGAGATGTCTCGGCTGAAGGCTGCGATCGAACGCGAGTACGAGGGCGAAGACCTTAAAATGGACGTGTACAATCCCGCGAACGGGCACGCAGTCACTTTGAAGTTCAGAGGAGAGCGGCTGGCCAAAGTCATGGGCACGCTCGCCATGGAGAAGCCCGAAGCCGGTCAGCATATCAGCGGAATCTTGATAAAAAGGAATTTCAATTTTCATCTGCTGGCTCCGGAGGACCTCTCGAAATACACAGACTTGGTGCAATCGACAGTCACACAAAAAGCTTCATTGGCCTACTCAGGAACTTTCAGAGCGCTACAGTTCTTCATTTCGAGACTGCTGACCGTGCAGGTCGTGGAGCCGGGCCGAGTCATGAATGTCATGGACAGGATCTCATTGACGATGGAGGACAAAATGATCATTCTCGAGTGGACCAGCTCCCCCGACAACGATATGCTGGCCGATGCCGTTATGACCTGTGCTATCAGGGCACAGACCCAACAAACGACGATACCTAAGGGGGTCAGCGAGTATACAATCGACAAGTATAAGTTGTCGGACGCCATTTTGAAGATGTTAAGAGACATGTTCGGCGAAGAATCCGTGTCCAATGTGGTCAAAGGAGAACGGATGACCGTGACGGTCAGTAGTAAACGCGTTGATGTGAGTTTGAAAGACATGAAAGTAACATGTGCTGACGATAAAACTCTCGAGACGATCGTCGGTAACGCTGTGATGCGCATGTATGACACTCTTATGCCGTGTAAATAGATCCTGTGCAGATAGCTCGCGATCCTTTATGCTTGGGGTCACTCGTGTTTTTAATAAATTTAATTTTTCAATCCGATCAGTGAGGATTCTTCATTTCTCATCTGCTGCTCTCGTCCGCTTCCTACCTACCCAGTCTCGCGGAGTTCTTAATCTAGTAAGGTAGTAAATGTTCTTAAACTATTCGGGAAATTCAGGAGACTTCAGTGAACTCTGAGTGCAAATTTGAATGATAATTTACGGGAGGCTCCCAGGACCATGCATCGGATTTTCGAAGGAACTGGGAACAAGGAACTCATCGACTGCCAGCGTCTCAGCTTAAAATAGAAATCCGCAGATGGACATGAATCATACCATACCATCCTTTGGTCACTCAGGCTCCACTGCATTGCATTCTGGAGCGAGGATACGGGACTTGAATTCACGTCATCAACTCCAATAGCCCATGAGCTGCAGGTTTCCTATCCGTGGACTCCCGAGAGCACCCCGCAGGCCGACAGCTTCCAGTCTCTTTGCTGTCCGGGGCCCGCTTGGACGACTCACTCTTGCAGCTCTAGAATCACTTCACCCAATGATTCGCGGCAACAGCATCGCCAACGCCGCTCCCCCCGATGGAGACTGCCCACGTTTCCTCACTGATCTCGCTTCTCCGTGAGATTTCAAGCTTATTCTTTCGCCTGGATTGCTCAAGCATTCCTCAGCACGGTGCTGTGTTGGTATCAGCCGGACGGCAGCTGCGAGGTTGGCGAACGCCAGAGGGTATATGCGCTATCATCTGGTTGAAGTCAGGCGTTCTCCTGGAAGAGACCGCTGCCCTGCCGAGCATTCGGGTTCCGATCGATACCAGATCCGAGATCAGGCCCTTAAGGATATTTGATTCCCAGGATATATTTCTAGCTCGATGATCAGCAATATCCTCGAGTCAGGCCCCCGCAGACTTCAGCGGATACCGCTCGTCTGTTCGCATGCTCATGCCATCAGTGGCTTCAACGAAAGAAGGAATGATAGAGGTCTGAAATACTTTCAGGACTATTTTATTATGATCTAAAAGCGGACGCATTTTGACTGTATTTCCTCAGCTGTATTTGGAGTTCTATTCTATCGATTTTTGAGTCTCAGCTTCCGTTCCCCATGGGAGGGACGGAGCTCGAAAACGAGACCGGTTTTTGACTTGAATCTTTTTTTTGGCTTTTTATTCTTCGTAGCTCTGAATGTCGACCGATTCCAAGAGAATGAGGCGTATAGCAGTTTTCGTGATCGTCTACTGACCGCCGCGAAGACGAAGAACGAGATGGAGCGTAGATTCTTTCTGGATGTTGTAATCCGACAAGGTACGGCCGTCTTCGAGTTGTTTGCCAGCGAAAATAAGACGTTGCTGGTCGGGGGGATTCCTTCCTTGTCTTGGATTTTGGCCTTGACATTCTCGATGGTGTCAGAGGCTTCTACTTCGAGAGTGATGGTTTTTCCCGTCAAGGTTTTGACGAAAATCTGCATCCCACCACGCAGACGAAGAACCAGGTGGAGGGTGGACTCTTTTTGGATGTTGTAATCGCTCAATGTGCGACCATCCTCGAGCTGCTTGCCAGCGAAAATAAGACGCTGCTGGTCTGGGGGAATCCCCTCCTTGTCCTGGATCTTTGCCTTTACGTTCTCGATGGTGTCCGACGGCTCGACTTCCAGGGTGATGGTCTTCCCGGTGAGGGTCTTCACAAAGATCTGCATGCCTCCACGGAGTCGAAGCACGAGATGGAGTGTCGACTCCTTTTGGATGTTGTAGTCGCTCAGAGTGCGACCGTCCTCCAGCTGTTTTCCAGCGAAAATGAGTCGCTGTTGGTCGGGCGGGATACCCTCCTTGTCCTGGATTTTGGCTTTCACGTTCTCGATGGTGTCGGACGCTTCGACCTCGAGCGTGATCGTTTTTCCAGTGAGAGTCTTCACGAAGATTTGCATGCCACCTGGAACGATGAATAAATTCTACCGTGAGCGGATGAAGAAATTACGGTAAGACGGGTATCGAGGAATCGGGGGAAATCCGTCGCACCGCACTCTCGGAGTACGGGGGGTCGATTTCAGTGGAAATAGGAGGTCACCGACTGAATTTTTCCGTAGACGTGATACTGACCTCGCAGACGAAGGACGAGATGAAGAGTCGATTCCTTCTGAATGCTGTAGTCCGAGAGGGTGCGGCCATCTTCGAGCTGCTTCCCGGCGAAGATGAGACGTTGCTGATCGGGCGGAATGCCCTCCTTGTCTTGAATCTTTGCCTTGACGTTCTCGATTGTGTCCGACGGTTCAACCTCGAGCGTGATGGTCTTACCCGTGAGGGTCTTGACGAAAATTTGCATGCCTCCTCGGAGACGGAGAACCAAGTGCAAGGTCGACTCCTTTTGGATATTGTAGTCGGACAGCGTGCGACCGTCTTCGAGCTGTTTACCAGCGAAAATCAGACGCTGCTGGTCCGGTGGGATGCCTTCCTTGTCTTGGATCTTTGCCTTGACATTTTCGATCGTGTCAGAGGGCTCGACCTCCAGAGTGATCGTCTTGCCCGTTAGGGTCTTGACGAAAATCTGCATGCCTCCGCGAAGACGGAGGACCAGATGCAGGGTGGATTCCTTCTGGATGTTGTAGTCGGACAACGTGCGACCGTCCTCAAGCTGTTTGCCAGCGAAGATGAGTCGCTGTTGATCCGGAGGAATTCCCTCCTTGTCTTGGATCTTGGCTTTGACGTTTTCGATCGTGTCGGAAGGTTCGACCTCCAACGTGATCGTCTTGCCCGTGAGGGTCTTGACGAAGATCTGCATACCTCCTCGGAGGCGCAGCACCAGATGGAGGGTGGATTCCTTCTGGATGTTGTAGTCCAGGAGGGTGCGACCGTCCTCGAGCTGTTTGCCAGCGAAGATGAGCCGCTGTTGGTCGGGCGGGATGCCCTCCTTATCCTGAATTTTCGCCTTCACGTTCTCGATCGTGTCGGACGGTTCGACTTCAAGCGTGATCGTCTTACCCGTGAGGGTTTTGACGAAGATCTGCATGCCTCCGCGGAGGCGGAGCACCAGGTGAAGCGTCGATTCCTTCTGGATGTTGTAATCGGAGAGGGTTCGTCCTTCTTCGAGTTGTTTGCCGGCGAAGATCAGTCGCTGTTGATCAGGCGGAATTCCTTCCTTGTCCTGAATCTTGGCCTTGACGTTTTCGATGGTGTCGGAGGGCTCGACCTCGAGGGTGATTGTTTTTCCGGTGAGCGTTTTCACAAAAATCTGCATTCCTCCACGGAGTCGGAGTACGAGATGCAGAGTGGACTCTTTCTGAATGTTGTAGTCGCTGAGCGTGCGACCGTCCTCGAGTTGCTTCCCGGCGAAGATCAACCTCTGCTGGTCGGGAGGAATGCCCTCCTTGTCTTGGATTTTCGCCTTGACGTTCTCGATCGTGTCCGAAGGCTCCACTTCGAGCGTGATTGTTTTTCCAGTCAGTGTCTTCACGAAGATCTGCATTCCACCTGAGGGGGGCAACGAAAACGTCAATATTGGAGGGGGAACGGGAAGGACAATTATGCGGCATGCGATAGAATTCGGGCGAGATCGAAGATCTCAAAGTACCTCTGAGACGGAGCACCAGATGCAGGGTCGACTCTTTCTGGATGTTGTAGTCGCTGAGCGTGCGACCGTCTTCGAGTTGCTTTCCAGCGAAGATCAAACGCTGTTGGTCGGGAGGAATGCCCTCTTTGTCCTGGAGTTTTGGACCTTGACGTTTTCAATCGTGTCGGAGGCCTCCACGTCGAGGGTGATGGTTTGCCCGTGAGGGTCTTGACGAAAATCTGCATTCCTCCGCGCAGACGAAGCACGAGATGGAGCGTGGACTCCTTCTGGATATTGTAATCGCTGAGGGTTCGTCCGTCCTCAAGTTGCTTGCCAGCGAAGATCAGTCGCTGCTGGTCGGGGGGAATGCCCTCCTTGTCTTGGATCTTGGCCTTCACGTTTTCGATCGTGTCGGACGACTCGACCTCCAACGTGATCGTCTTTCCGGTCAGCGTCTTCACGAAGATCTGCATTCCTCCTCGGAGGCGGAGGACGAGGTGGAGCGTCGACTCCTTTTGGATGTTGTAGTCCGAAAGGGTTCGGCCGTCTTCAAGCTGTTTTCCAGCGAAGATCAGACGTTGCTGATCCGGAGGGATTCCCTCTTTGTCCTGGATTTTAGCCTTCACATTCTCAATGGTGTCGGCGAGCTCGACATCGAGCGTGATGGTTTTGCCGGTGAGAGTTTTGACGAAGATTTGCATTTTCTGGAATAGTCAAGCGCTGGTTAGAATGCGGAACGTTGCTGTTATCACGGTCTTGCCAGCGGCTGCGTAGTTCGCTCGCCAGAGTATCTCTGTGATTTGGCAACGACGTAGTTTGGCATTGAGGTAGAAGTGCGAAGGACGGCTGAAGGAGCGAAAGGATTTTCTTTCGCAAAGACCCTGCGCTCTTCCTCCGCTCCTCGCCGTGGAGCGTACCGAAAATGCAATTCGATCCGACGTGAACGTAATTCGAGAAAGTTCGCAAAACAGCTCCATCCGATGCGGCTCAATGAAAATCGGGGACCCGAACATCAGTTCCGACCGCTACGCTGCCTGAGATCTGGGGCACTGCGTCGCAACTCACAGCGGGTCGTCACGGGCTACGCCACTAGCGCGTCACGCAAATTTCCTCGAACTCCAGGGAACTCACAGAGAACGACGAGCCGAACCAGCGCGGTCAAGAGACTTTCTGAGGGCCGATAATTCTCATTGTGCCAATGCTGAGCTTCAGTAAAACCGTCACGACGGAGCAGAGTATTAGGCTTAGGAAACTTTCACACTGTAGGTGACGAGCCCCATCGAGGCTTCAGCCAGCCACGTCATTCTGCCTTACGGGGCACACGTTGCATAGGCAGATATGGGTGGGAACGTCATCGTTAGAAACCCCAGCATCGACGAGAGGCCCACGCTAGGCGAGGCCGCCGAAGCTACATCCTTGAGCTGGCAGACTTTAGGCCAAAGCTCGAATTCGTAGCACATCACACGAATGTCCGGACGCAGCCACCAACTTCGAGCACATCCTGCTCGTTAGACCGCAGCTCTCGGGGTTTCGCAGGACACGGATGCACTTTCAGGTCGGAACGCTGAGTTCGAGGGACGTTTCGAACTAAGCCTAACTCATTACGAAATTCCCAGCGCACGGACGAATTCCAGTCGGCATTCGGTCGGAAAACTTCTCCCAGATGGGCGTCACCCTCCCTGAACGCCAATACAGCGCAATCAGGGAGCTAAAGCGAACTAGCAGCCACGGAAGTCACCCAATCCGAATCTCACAATACAGACGCTGACGGGGAGAATACGATCGAGTTCGCAAGCCAGCTGAACGGAAATCGCGTGCCCCGAGGATCCGAAAAACCGGGGCCGAGGATACACTTCGAGACACGATCTAACCGACCTACTTGCGGGGAAAAACGTAGAGGAAAAGACGATACGTACGAGTTGTCGAAGATTTCTCCAATGAACTGTACCAGAGTCAGCTCAACAATGATTCAGCTAGAGCGATAGCGCTCCCTTATGTACTGGCTGAGACGTCAGAGCGAATGTCGCCGCTGATTGGCTAGCAGTGGCCCTAGCAACAGCCGTGACTCACATCTGACCAATGAGAAACATCTAGAAACTTCCTGGGCCCGTGGCGGGCGAATTCGAACTCGTAAATGGAACACATATTCTGGAGGCGGGAAATTTCAATCGTTCCGACCCGATTCCTGCGGCCACGGCCCCTTGTTGCTATGAGGAACCCTAGCTTGAGTTCTGATGCCTGGAGCAATGGATCGAGATAGAGCACTGACGAGAGTCATTGTCTGGCGGGGATCTGTGCAGAGTGAATCCGCTCGAAGCTCTGGGGAAACAAACATCGGAGGGACACGTATGAGCCGACATCGGCATTTGTCGGACTTCGCCGATGTTGCTGCTCACAATTATGAGGAGCGTCATTCTCCTCCCAGATGTCCCACGACGGAGTCGAAAGGGCGTCAATCTCGGATGGCGGTCCGATGCTCAGGCCGATGACCTCGAAGGGAGACCTTTGAAGGATCGAGGGAACGTAGATCTCTCGGAGAACGCCTTATTCTGGGACCTTCGCCGGTGCTTCAGGAGATCGTCAGTCAAAACGCATATACATACTACCAGAGGTGTTTCTAGAGATTCGGCGGAAGGTTGGCCATATTACAGCTGGGATGAAATGTCAGAATGCGCCAGATGACGCGGTCTAGGCTTTGCCGAGGCAAGAAGGAACAGCTTCGGTCAAATCGAAAAGCCACGGGCAAGTTCGCAGATGTCCGCCCGCATATTCACGCAGCCCTATCGAGCTATTGGAGGTGCTCCGGCTGATTAGGATAGCCGAATCATCTTTCTTCCCAGGAAGCTGGCGGTGCGATAAACGCGATTTTCCGACGAGCGGATTGGGAGCCGTATCGCGGATAGCGCTCAGGATTGTACCTTGCATTGCCCTTGAAGGGGACTGGGTTGGGTTATATGGGGCTGGGAGTTCACGATGGCGACCCGCTCCGAAACTTTACCATCACGGGACAATGTCCTAGTGGTGGGGGAGGGGTGGCGAAGGCCCATCCAGCCCCGACGCGGATGCGCTACTCATCGCACTGATAAGCGATAGCAAGCGGAACGAAATGATGTACTTCTGGGAGCACGGGAGGAGATTTCTCACATATCCATTCGGGGAATTTCGCGGCGATCCCGTGGAGATTGAGGAGAAGAGATTCGTCGAGGCGCCGGTGTCGTAAAGCGTGTTGACCTCTCTCTTCCTCATTCGACCGGTTCATTGAACTCTAATTCTGTGATATCTGATCAATAATGCTGTAAATCTAGACGTTTCGATACTCCTTGGGAGACGAACGTGGATTGAGGAAGGAACGATGATTTTCCGGCTGGACGACGACTCTACCACCGTACGCGCATTCAGCCTGTGGAATTCAAAGTCTGCGCTGCCGCTCGATCGAAGCCGTCTTCGCGGACGCTCTCTCCTCGAGTACCTTCCCTTACAGAAATTATCAGGGATGCGATGAGCCGTCCGATCATTCTCTTAGTCTTGCCCCCATTAATGCATGGCGCGTCTCGGTCGACACTGGGATGATTTTCGATCTGCCAGGCAGCCCCTCAACGGTTTTCAGGCTCCGGAGTTTTGGGGAATCTCCAGAGTCTTCGGGCGACAGAATATGGGAGAATTTTCCGGTCAGTCAGTCTCGGTCAGCCAGACAGTGATATCGAGGTCGTCAATAAGTGGTTAGGTGGGCAACCACGAGTCTTTTTTGAGAATGCGTCTCGATCCGCGATACGAATCGACTCATCGAAAGTCATGTTTTTGCTGCTCCGATGTTGAGCGACGCATGGATCCGACCGACTGAGAGCAACCTCGCTAAGTATTTGCGTTGCAGAATCGCCGAGACTGCAAATGCGTGGTTATGATACGGTATGTTCGCAGCGACAGACAGACGACAGACGGATTCCGCTGAAACAGAAGAGCTTCGGAAGCTCTATCGCGTGCGGGAGAGAACTCGGATGATCGAGGCTGAACTATAAGAATTACGAAAGCTTCAAGCTATTGCGCAGCGCGTTGGACATCCGGGATTCTCGCACAGTCTCCAATGTTCGATAGCTATGGTGAGGAGCTTCCGACTTGCTCAGCTCCCGGCCGAGCCGCTCTCGAAGCTGTAGCAATTACGGCATGATCATCGAGATAGGAAACCTTCGGCTATTATTGATGGATTAGGCTGCGGCGTTGAATATACTGATCGTCAGTCATCGTGAGCTCACGAGCTGTGACAACTCCTTCGCGGGAAGTTTTGTCAATCTCGCGGTCAACCCTAATCTAAATTAATTCTGAAAAGGCGTGAGCGTCGCTCATTCGAGTTTTTAGCGTCTCTCCGGGAGAAGTGTAAGTGATCCAGAATTCCGCTTCTTCCGTATGCCCCACGGCTTGCGGGCGGAATACGTCGCGTCGCGACCAGTGGCGTGCATGGCCGCGACAAAATCCTTCCTGCGCAGATTGGCGGAAATCATGACCTCGCTCGTGTCATCCAGAGCTTTAGAGTTCGGGCATCATCCATCACAAACACCGAGGATATGTCATACCCAGCGATTCCGCGGTAGATCTATTTGGTGGAACATCATCCATCCGTTTATCAACCGGTATGGACAGTAGAAAGCTGAAGAATCAATAATTCCCAGGCAGCAGTAGATCTTCGCATATGCGACCTGGATAGTGTCGTCATTTATGAAAACGCCTCATGGACATTTTTATCGCGGTAACTTCCAAACTGCGTTCTGTTGACAGGCTTGGTCTCAGGGAGAATCAGTCAGGTTCCTTGGATTGGAACTCACTTCTGTGGGGCAAGATTTTTACAGACCTGTCTTGCTAAGGCCCGCGGGAGAAAGAGGTGACTCCACCAGAAGAGAAGAAACTCATCGCCTATGAGTGTTTTCTCATGTTCAGCGCTCTGCTATTCGGTTCGAGCTTGTTCATCACTAATGCCCAAAATCACCAGACTATTACTAGCGATCATCCGTTTGACTTTTTCCCCATACACACGGATCGGAGCGAGAACTGCCAGTGGAGCCAAAATGTCGAGATTGTCTCGGCTGGCACATCGTATCCGACTATCCGCAGGACAGAGAAAGAAGCGAGATCTCTTCAATGCTCCGTATATTCATCAATGAGCCGCGCGGACTTAGAGGATACGAAGCCCCATTCGAGATACCTCAGATGAGATGCGGCCCTCCGAGAAAAATTCGAATCTCGAGAGGTATCCGCAGTATCATACAAGTCTATGACCGTCAGTCCTCTCGCGGAATTTCCCTTGAAAGAAGGAGAATTCGAGGCACGCGGCATTCTATTCCTGTCACGTTAGTACGCAGGCTGAGGTCTCCTCTCGTCAGAACGTCGAAATATTGTTGCTACTCGCAGCGTGAATCTCATCGGAAGATGTTCTTCTCTCGAGAATTCGACTTCAAATTGGAACTCGAGAAAAGTCAATATGTTCGTTTCAGCCTCAGAGCATTCGGATGGAAGCGGGGACATTTTCTTCCGCGAGAGCAACGGTACTTCTGGGGATCGGAATAGTGAGGAATGAAATTCTGCCCACGGCCTGTTGCTCTTCAAGCCCATGACGCGCCAGCTCATGTGTATGGGCTAGAGTGTCGCCAATGCCGTCTCGGAGAAAGCTTTGATGCTCTGCGGACGCTTGCCTTCCCGCGTATTCACCTGAGCCGTAATTCGATGCGACCGCTCCGTGGGTTGAGTCTACCGAGGTGACCATCTTCGGTGTTCTGGGAAAGACCCTCTACGGTCCACTAGCAAGCGGAATTTCGTCGCGAAGCCAGCGATTCCCTCCCCCTGAGAAAGGCAGGAGTTCTGTTCTCGAATCTGCCTCAGAGGGCTCGGGCTCTGACCCATTAGGGTCCCTCGTTTGTGCATACTTCATAGACTAGGCCGGGGGCTCGGAGAAGGTGTTAGCGAAAATTTTGCGGAAGGACGCCAACCTCGCAGACTACGAGGAAAAACTTGCGATTCGCTTGGCTCCACTCCCTGCCTTCAGACCGACGAGAGCCCCCGATAGATTGATCACGTCCAAGGAGGGACAACTTCTGCCGAACTGCCGACCTTTTCGATTCGGTTATCGTCTCCGTCGGTGAGAGCCTCGGGGGGCATTGTACGTGGCAGGTTGGTTCCCGTGAGCCGTCCTTATTTGGCCGCGGGCACTCTGATTCGAGAATGGGGCTCGGATTCCGCGGATGTTCTTCGAACGTCTCGAATTGCTTTTCTCGGACTGTTTGTCATCGAAAGCTTTCGCTCCTCGTAAGAGATAATATCAACAGAACGACACGAAAACACGAGCGAGGATCGAGTCGGAATGAGTTCAGCAGACAGTTCCCCCGGGAAACGTACGGAGGAAATTCATCATCATTCATGGACGACATTCCTCCGCTGATCAGCCTCTCCCGAGAATCTCTCCCCCATGTCGACGAGATATAGCCCAGAGAGAGCACTGGAAGCTGTTCTTCTTTCTCGGACTAGCCGATTCTACGGAGGTGTATACAAAATGTCGATAGATAAAATCGGATGATTGTTTGCGTTCCGGCCGAGAATCGATCCGCATGTCCTGGGGCAGAATCCAAGACCACGAATTCCGAAACATGCTACGGGAGCGAGGAGGAAGACGACGGCTCCCGTCCCGGTGGATCGACGCCCATTCCTGGAGAACGTCGATCGGAGCCCGAGAAGTCACCGCAGCCTCGGGAGCATTCCCGCAGCCTCGAGACCTGTCAATTATTATACTTGAATCACAATCGGAAATCTCCGGCGATGGTCTCCGTGACGGGAAGAGAAGAAGCGGGGGCTCAGAAAAGGATCCTACAGTTTTTATTTATTTACAGAAAATCTATTTGTACAAAATGTATTTGGCTTGGAACAGTTGTCAGTCGGGTCGACTGAAGGTTTCTGAGTTGCTCTCGACTAAAAGACCGGTGACGGGACGTGGCTAAACACTGACTTGTAACCGGTCATCTGAATTAATTCCTTCCCGCATTCCGTCTGTACACATTGATCTTACGCACAACGATATATACACGGAACAAAATGGCATCTTTTTCGCTTTACCTAATTATCCAACACAGAAGCAAAATTCAGTAGCTATCGTTTTTCGGTTCCATAGTTTACAATGACAAAACGGAAATCGACTCCGATCGGATTTAATTGCCACCTGCCTGCAGAACCTCTTGGTTCTGAGAAGGAATCTCGTCGGGGACGACGTCGTCGAGTACGGTTATTCTATCGAGTTCGAACGCCAGCAGCCTGCTGTTAAGAGGCATGATCGGAGCTCGTTTGGGACTTCTTCGCTTTTCGTTCTCGCGTTTGCCAGCATCTTTTAGCTCTTTACTGGGCGGTGTTTTGTTGAGGTTGACGGCAGCCGGATTTTCCAGCGCCGGTTGAATTTGGCGTGGACGTGGCGGTCTGGTGACCGTTTTCAGAACCCGCGAGGGGCCCGCGGTCTCCTCTGGGCGTTGGAGCTCGATCTGCGCCACGATTTGCTTTGGTCCGGAAGACGGCGAGGACGACGACGTCGACGGCGAGGTCTCTTTCGCTCGAGGAACTATGGGATCCGGAATGGCCGACCCGAACGAACTCACCGAACTCAGAGAGTCCTGGGTTACGTGCAAGGGCCGTCTAAAATCCGGTCGAGGTCGCGGTCGGGTGTCCTGGTAGCGGGGCGGAGCACCCATCGACGAGCTCGGACACGAGCACGCGCCCTGACACTGACAGGGTTTCCTGCGGTCGTCCAGAAGGAACGCGGCCACGAGGCTCGCTTCGAGGTTCCTCCGAGTCCGCAGCTGAGCGGTGCGTCTGTGCGCCGAGCGGGCTTTGGCTGGTGAGGTTTTCTGCCTTCGATGGTGACGTCGCTCGGCAGAACTCGACGGCAGGATGACTCGGAGTATCCGGCTGTTCTTATGCGTCGCCTCCCGATACGTCGGGGGCGGGCTTTCCGAAATCATCGTGAACGCCGCGTTTTCCACGCCGGGTAGAGTTCCGTTGGCGGCGTTAAATCTCGCCAAAGTCGGCGAGTTCTCATCGATGGTCGAATACGCTGGCGGCGGGGGCATGTAGAATTTTATTACGTCGTCGTACGTCGGCGGCGGATCGAAAAGAGGAATATCGCCGGGGTAGATGCGTCTTCCGTCGCCGAATTCCGATATGCTCCTGAGCGCTTCTCGGTTCAGCGCCTCGATCTGACGCTGTTTCCGGAGCTTTATCAGAATGAGAATCGTCGTCAAAATGAACATCCCGAGCCCGGCGAGCGATGTCAGCAGGATCAACGTGTTCGTGCCGTTGTACGAATCGGTCGATTCGGGCTTGGGAAAATAGTAGTTGGGCGTCAAGTTCGTCCACCACTGCAGGGTTTCCTTGGATTGCTTCTTTTCCTCTGTGAGTCGCTTCTCGAAGATGACTTTGCCATCGCAACCGACTTCGTCGCTGCCGTCCCCGCAATGATTGAAACCGTCGCAGTGGATCGACGGGTGCAGACAGCGACCGTTGGCGCACATGAACTGATTGGTCTCGTTGCACGCAGTGTCGAACGTGAAGACGGAGTAAACGACCGCGAGTCGCGATCGATTCGTGAATGAGCCTTTCAAACGGATGTAGTATCCTGACGTTGCGGGAATTATGTACTCCTGTGCGTGTTGTTGGTTTTTAGGCTGTTGTTGACTGTTCAGTGTGATGAGCGGATAAGAGCCAGACGTAAGACCCTGCTTGATCTCTAGAGATGACTGCGGACCTGCACAGAGAGAGAGGAATCGAAACTTTAGGACTTCAGGAGTTCCATCCGGGAATTTCCCGGGAGTATTGAGGTGGGGGAAGAGGGGGAGGGAATCGAAGCGAGTGCTGATTCCCTCTCGGTGCCGACTAGATCGCCCGGTCAAAGATCCGGAAACGGAATAATCGATCATAAGTTCGAAAACGAGTTCGGAGACCCGCGTCCCAATCAGACCGAGAGCACCCAGAACTACTCACCCATCTCGTCGAATTGGGCGACTCTGATCGAGATCTGGCTTTCGGAAGCTTCTCGGGCAGAACTTTTCACCAACCAAATGCAGTCGTAGGACTTAGGCGTTCCAGTCTGAGCAACCATGTTCATCATTGTGATGGCTCCGCCGCTATCGTCAACAATACCTGTCGGACAAGGCGTCGTTGTAGAAGACAATCTATTTCCCTACCTCTCTGATAACACTCTGGATGATTGTTCCGAGTCGGACGATTCCGCAGAGGACAACGCCAACACCACGATCGACAACTTACCTCCGCAGTCTGTTGACGGTTTGTTGAACCAGTATTTCTCGGGGTAATTGACAAACGTGTACTTGGCGCGGAACCCTGCGTTGGCATATTCGTCGTTCGCTCTGAATTTCACGGTGAGATTCACGCCCGATGACACCACGATCGGGGGTCGGAACGTGTTTCCATTGTACACATCTATGCGCGTGCCGTTGGTGTCCAGAACCTTCGGATGGAATTCATGAGACAATGAGTTTCGGTCGAAAATACAATCAACGAAACGGTCTATCGCCTCTCGCGAAACCCCCCAACAGAATCTCCCACCCCCGCCAACGCTCGCTGAATTTTTGGAGGCCTCACCTCAATATACGACCATGGAGACAACTGGAAGTCAGTAAAGACTAGCTGCACGAATCCGCGGGGATCCGTATTGACGAGTTGATATTCCACGCTGTAATCCGATGGGTACGGCAGAGGGAAATGGGGCGACTTGATGTAACCCGTGGAAGCTCCTTGGTAAAAGTCGGCTTGACCTTTCAGTACGTAGACGTTACCTGCAGCCGAAGTGAACGCCATGAGCAATGGTACGTGAACGAAGCGACGAGGCTGTATATGGAATCGAGGAAGCGAATCCCCGGGACGGTTCTGCTGACATTTGATCGACTCGCTGACCCACCCTCCATGCTTGCTTGCTTGCTTCCTGCTTGCCTCCCCCTACGCTAAGTGAATCTGTCACAGACGTCCGTCGCCATCTCCCGCACGAGACACAATGGCTGAAGGCGTCGGCGTTTCGGTGTTTTCTCGACCGGTCCCGCCATTCCGGTTCGGTCAGAATATCCCACGCAAACTTTCACCGGTTGCGCGTAAACTGGTGCAAGCATCGCCCGTATCCGATGACCGATGCGGTTTCGGTTTAGATAGCTCCAACGAATATCTCTACTCTTGTGTTTGACACCATCAAGAATAGACGAAAAGTGGATCAGAAGATTGTCAGCGGGTCGGATTTTTTCCGCTCTGCTCCCGTCCAAATAAATAGCTCAAAATCCCACGTGAAAAGAATCCTCCCCCCTTTCACAGAGAAAGAAAATCTTGTCCTAAGAAGCTGCAGAGGGAAAGTTCCTCATTAGTGCCTCATTTTTTCGCAAAAGTCACAGAAACTTCGGACTCAAAGGATAGGATCGGTTTTCGTATATGTCAGAAGCGAAGAAAACTCTCCATGAGCGCCTGGAACGACTCCGAATGCCATCTCGTCGAGTTGGACTCATCTCTCGAAGTTCTCATCGGGCAACGAGTAGCCACAAGATTGAGTGAGAAGTTCTCCTCGCTCGAGTCGCTCCCACTCTCTATACCCGAAGTTCGTGCCCTCCGATCGACTCCTGAACTCTTCTCAGCGAGGGGAATACTAACTTTTCGCTGTCACCTGCAGACTGAAGGCGTCCGTGTACGAGTACGAGTACAGAAAGTCCACCGAGAGCAGTTTCCTCATCGATTCGAACACCATGCGCGAGTCGTTCCGCTTGACGCCGCAGAGCTCCTCGCTCAGCCGGCTTATCGTGGGTTCTTTCAACCATACGTAATCGCAACTGAAATAGATTTCCATTCCTTAGTCCCCGCCTGGGTAGTTCCCACCTCATGCGTTGGAATCCGTGCTCGCGGAATATATCGTTCGAGAATTCTCCACCATGGACCGCTCCGTACCGGCATTTCCCGTTGTTACTGCAGGTGGGAATGTTGAGGTAATCCACCGTCACCTGGAAGTGACAGCTCGGGCAAGTAATGAGCTCGACGGAGCACCTCTGAGGCATCCGACCCCAAGTTTCGTTGTGGGCCGACGTTTGCGACGTGACGTTCGCCACTGAGATCGTGCCCGTTTCTCCGACCGCGATGAAGTACTTGCGTCCATTCATCCATTTGCACAGATCTGGGAAGGAACGAAGAATTAGCGGGGCACTCCATTCCGGAAGAAACCTCGTCACGATGGGAACCTGCATAATCTTAAGTCGTCGTGATCAAGAGCAACACTGTCAAGAGACGATTCCCTAAAGGCAGACGGCTCGAACTCACCTCCGTCGGGTCTCGCGAGGGCGCTGCCATCCAGACAGCTCACGATGGTCAAAAGCAGCAGAACGCAGGTTACATCTGAAAATAGAAGGGTACAATCTTTATGGAGCGCGGACGTAAGGTTTTACAGAATTTGATCTATTTCGGCTCTCGGCCTCAGAACTGTCCAGTCAAAGCTCACTCGAGCTCACTCCCACTATCGATGGACGGCCGATGGCCTCCTAATGAATCAATATGCGTCTGAGGGGGTAGCCGAAGGATGTCTCCGGCGTGGGAAGAGCATGATCGTCCCGCGGATCGCTGACTAACCCGTTCCATCTAGTCTCTTTCCGTATCTGTCTTCGTGGTTTTCAATTTTCATCGGAGGAGTCTGGCAGGTTCGATCCAGTAGCTTAACTGCGCTGCGCTGCGCACTTGCGACGTCGCTCGAGAGGTAGCCGGAGCATAAGCGGCGGATATTTGAATCTGACCTCTGACGGGAGGGAGATTTAATACTCAAGACTCCCTTCGATAGTCTCCGACGGATGGAACCGAGTTCTCACCCGATTCCGCATATTCTAATCTTTTCCGAATGAGGCTACCCCTCAAATCTCTGTCTGTTTCCCGCTCGGAAGGTCCCGACCAGGGGTCCAAGCTCAGATACCGCTGATTACTTATGGCCCTGGGGACTGGAACTGGGAGCCGAAAATACACTTGGAGTTCAGGGAAAGAGGATAACGGAGTGGACATATCAGAGAGCTCAAAGTCCACAAAGTGAAGCTCGTGGGGGGAGGGTCACGGAAAAAAACCTTTGCCAAAAAGGAGCTCAATAGCGCGAGGCACTTGACGCTCAAACGCTTCGCAGCATGAACCTCTGGCGTAAGTTCCGAGGCGCTCGCGAGGAACTGAAATCAGATCCTAAATCCCGTAGTCCTCCGAACTTCTAATTCTCTTTCGTCTCATCGTGTACTTTGAGTCTTCGACATCACCCCAATTCCCTGATGTATCAATGAAGTTAGGCCTCACGCAGCTATACTGCTGGACCTGATCGAATTTCAGTCAGTTGGCGAAAGAGAAAGAGTCAGATTTCAGGACACGATCAAGGCTGCCGCGGAATGCCAAGCAGCCAAGAGGCTGGTGGACTGACTGACTGACTGACTGACCCACCGACCCAACGAACAACTAGGAGTTCTGTCAAAACAAAAAAAACGTTCTCATGAACCCTCAAAGGTCCCCCTTTCGTCGTACGGCCACCATCATCGCCGCCGCAAGCTCTGCCTCCAAGTAGAACAATGTGATGAGCGTATCTCGTGATGCCGATTTCGCTCACGTCAACACCGACCCGTTTACGAATTGGGGTGGCGGGACACTTGTCGCAACGAGAATATTGAAACTCTCTGACCGGCGACGACAGCAGTTTCCTTGTGTCGTCCGAATGATTTATCGAGCCGAAGTTCTCTTGTCGGCTCTTCATACTTTAGTCACGGCAAGAATTGAATTTGGTGGAAACAAGGGCGTCTGTCATTCACGAGTGAATCGGGTTCAGACCCCTCTCCCAGATAATCGGTGGGAAAACAATTGACAAAGATTCATCACTTTTCAATCTGCAGAATTATTTCACTGCGTTCATGGTTCATCTTCGATTCGCGATCTGACGCTGAGTGCATGAAAATGCGAAAATCCGCATCTTGTAAGGAGAGAAGAGCGAGAGATCTGTGGCTGATGTTTGGATGCCGATGTTCGAGCTCAACGAGATGATATTCGGTGGATTCGGGGACGAATTATTTATCCAGATCGACATTGCGTCACATATGATCGGATAACGGTTATCTTTGAGGCCGCGTATTCGGCGAAATAGACAATGCTCCGATTCTGGAGAGATTGGTCGGCACTGATGAAAAAGTTCCTCCCCGAAACAATGAGCCATCTGCGGGCTCCACGGTTATCTCGAAGAATTCGGGTTATGGTGGCGCAGATTCGAACATCAGCTGACATTCGATGTCTCCTGAATATGTCCGTTATGCTGTTGATACGATCTTCAGGAATGACTCGCACAGAGTCGCCTTTGAAGTCGTTCACTTTATGTCTCACGACATTCGAGCCCCGAAGATTGCCGAGAGGTCTGCAAGGAGTCGTTAGGCACACCATGGGAAACATCGGCTCAATATGAATTCACACATAATTTACTCCGAAGTTTCTCAGGGACTTGAGATTTTTCTTTGAGCAAGATTATTACCCCCCGTTCAAATTCATCACCAAGACTGCAAATTTGACCTTTGTCAGAAAACGAGCAGAACTTACGCCACGCGTCCTCTGATTAGGCTCCCTTTGATAATGGCGAGCTTATCGTACCCAAAAGAAGCGTACAGGGTTGATTCGTGAGAAGCGCACGATGAGCTACAAACACGGAATTTCCCATAGGCGACAAGCCAAGTAGTTGTAGAGTCTTTCTCGTTTACGATTTTCGACACGGCTCTGCTGATCGTTGTATTCTGCTCCGGACTACCATAGCGTTCCAGGCAAATATTCTCCACCTTTTCGAGTTCCTCGGCGGACAAAAGTGAACTTTCTGCTTCTCGCAATCTGAGTGCATCTAGAGAAAGGTGGGCCGGTTGAGGCGAATCGAGCGAACTGACGAAACTCCCACCGAGGAATGAACATCGCCAGGCATGGGACGTGTCAGACCACACGTCATACTACGCTGTCTGATCCCCGGAGAACAACTCAAGATTTCGACTTACTCGACATAGTGAACGCAAAGACACGACCTCACCCGCCGAGCCTGCATCGTCATCAATGGAGATTGACTAGCCGTTACGATTACCAGCGGATCATCGAAATTCACCTCGGAATGTGCTGCTGAATCCGATCAAGCTAAGACTCTCATCAGATCGATGATGTTTGGCATTCTTTCTTCTGAGCCCCGTTTCCTGCTGTAAGTCGTCAGCGGCTCTGGGAAAGTCCTTCGAATGGTGAGCTAGGAGCAGATCACGATACGACCGATGAACACACCCCGGGACACCGCCTTGTCCGTGAGTTCGTACAACAGGGTAGGTATTGAACACGTCTTCGATTCGTATAGGTACGTTTGCTAACTTCTTCAGCAAGCGACCCTACTTCTGAAAGGTCACCGCGACCCATAAAGACAATACAGGGAGGGGTTTGCGATTTCTCGCGACGGCTGGGCGGTGCGGTTCTGACTGAGCTCTACTTTTCGTTTCTCGATTCCGCCCTGCAACGGAACGTCAACCGGTTGGACAATATTGCCACGGGTTTCGGCTAGGGATTTCAGCTGTAGGATACGCTCGCGTCGACTATCGGGGGAAAGAATTGTTGTTGTTGTTGCTGTTATTATCATCTTCGTCTTCTACCCGGGAGATAAATGGGTATATCGATTGCCGGATGCCACGTCGCGTCAATCCGATGCATCGATCCGTAGATTCGGTATCTCGCAGAAAAGAACCCCGCACGGAAACCCAGAAGCTAATACTATCTCATCCGCGTCGCCATAATCATAGTTTACATCTTCCTCAGATTCTTATACGTACGTGAGCTATCTCTGCGAATGGCTTCGTAACGCTAATCCGCGTGCGATAAAATTCCCTCGCGGCACCCGCTCCGCACATAAACTTGACTAAGTCGGGACGCTGTCTGTTCGCTGATCTTTCCTTCTGTCTAAGGCTCGTTCGGTTGGGTCGGTCCGATAGGGGTCAGGAAATCTGACAGAGTCGGACTTTACCGCTCCGGATTCGCGCACCTTTACAACACAAGGTCAACTAGCCTGCGAGCCACTCCACGAGCGGCCCATGAGAAAAGCTTTTTTCTCTTTCACACCGCAGGCCCGGTATAGAAAAATATTCTCCCGAAAGTTATTCCGTTCCCGGTCGCGGTACATGTTACGTGACTGTGAATAGTGATCGACATTATCGCGTATAAATTCATTGATCAGCAGAAACCCGCGAAATGAGCTCCGAATCAGAATTATCTTTCCCAGCGGCACGGCGGAGCCCGCCTTTCAATGGAGCGGGGACGGTGGTACAATTGAGGGCGTTGATCGGAATCGATGAGAGTGGTTGGGTTTCTTCGCTGAAGTTGACTCAACAAACGAGCTGCTCTACAACGCAACGGCTATCAATCAACAGATCCCTTGTCTTATCCCGGAATCATCTGGGCACCGGGGGGATAACGAGGCTCTGTGGATGAGCAGCTCAACGTAGCGGTCTTCCGAGTCCGCCCCCTTTTATCCAGAACAGAAAAGATAGTCCCTCCCTGAGGTTGTTCGCTCGATGCGGTCGAGCGTCCGCTCAACGCGGTTAAACGTTTCATTGATACGGTCGAGAGTTTCGTGGACGGCCTTGCGTTCGGCAGAGAACGATTTCACGGGGATTTATGTCGCGCATATAAATTGCGGGTCATCCGATCTCAATACGCTGATAACGGGTTCCATCGGGTTTCCGAAAGCAGGACATGATCTGGGCTAATATACCGCTTGTCGTGGCTCTCACGTTCGCAATGACATAAAGCGCTATCGTACATACGTATGTCCGAGCGAGACTTCCTTTGCGGAACTGTTCCACGCGGGGGTGGTGTCTGAATCGCACGAACAGGATCCACCACAGCACATGACAGATTCGTATGCGTGTTATCTAATTGTAAGTATGTCGCTGGAGGCAGTGACTCCGAAGTTTACATGGGCGAAAGAAGACGTGACGCGAAAACTTCTCCCGGCGACGGTGGCTCAAGCGTCCTTTAACTCAGGCGTAGAAAGGATGACATGAAGGGTGTCGTGCCTCGGCCTTGTTGCTCACCGTGTCAGCTGTGACAGCCGGCCTTGGTGGTTGTAACAAAGGAATTTCCTCACGGTGCGACCCGAGCCAACTTAGCCTAACTAATTGCCGCTCGGGGCGCGAACCAAGGGTGCGCTTCCGTGGGGCTATCGAACTTCGAGCACGAGAACGAAGGCAAGACTGACGTTCGACGGGGGGATTCAGCAAAGTTTGGAATGGAATCTGTCGACAAGGCGGGGAATCAGTCCGGGAACGGTCGATGAGAGTCGCCATACGCCGGACTCAGGTGGACTGCGTGAATGGGAGCGCGAGAAGAGTTTACAGAGTTCGTTCGGTTACTTTTTTCCGGCCGCTCAGTCTAGGACCCCTGAAGGCCGCTGCCGCCGTCTCTTCCTCGTTGCGATGCCCTCTCCCATCGAGAAGAGTTTGCAGGATGCTCTCCGGCTGCCGCAGATCCTCAACGGCTTCCCACAGTGCTGGTGTTAGTGGAGATTATTCACCCTCACAGAGTTTTCCCTGCGGATACTGCTCATCGAGGTAAATTCGAGATTCCGCACCGATTTTTTCCCCCACCGATTAGCAGCGGGATTTCGTCCCCATTTGATTCTGCACTTCGGAATTCGTCATCTGTCTAGGGATTACACATGAATGCAACACATGGCTTTCTCGTGCTCGCCTGACACATGCTACGCGGTTGCGGTCCTCCGAGGTCCGAAGTCAATGATCCGCAGAAAACGAGAGATCTCCCGGGATTCTCGCTTCGAACGAGCACCGTTCGGGTAGACCGTTCGTTTTACTCGTTACTGACTTCAATGTGCGGCGAACAATGTTGTGCGCGAGACTCCTGGTACATATTACGGAACTTTGTTCGAAGAAGCTTCGTCATTATCACTCGGATCGGATTCTATTCGAGATTCTTTGTTCACTTGTTCGGATGTCGGCTTGTTCCTCGGGGAAACTTCGACACGAATTATCCAAGCGACCGATTTCCCGCCGTGGGTCGCAGCCGACGCGGATTTTTGCGTAATACCTTGAACGGGGCTCACCGCAAAGCGCGCGCTATTATATGTACATAGCGGACGAAGAGCCCAGAACTCACCTTTACGCATATAATCCATGGCGTCGTCTTCTCCTATCGCCGTGTTTTCCACCGTCTCACTTCATGTCTGCAAGGGGAGAAAACTTCCATTATTAGAATTATAGTTTCCCGAGGATCCGTTCTCGAAAGCACCGCGGCGAGCCTATTCAATCTGCTGGAACTACATTTATTACACCCATTAACGCAGTGTCGGCACTGTGCGGGGATCCACGTCTCAATCTCCTCCCGGACACGTTACGAACATTAGAATCTCTCCGTGACGCCGTGTCTTCGAGCTTGATCTAGAAAGGTCCCATGGAAGTTCGACCGAAAAGAGCTCTCGATCGTTTCTCAAAAAGCGTCCCCAGAGAATGGAGTTCGTGGCTCGATCACTTGGAAGAAATGATCCAAGCGTCGAGAGAACGGCGGCGCATCACAGCATTTCGCTCCGATTTACGCGCCGTGCTACAGATAAGGAGTCATTGTGCGGGTACAGTAGGAACCCGCTCAATGGTTGCCAAGGTTGCCGCTCGAAACCTAATTCACTTTTAGACTTTTTCGAATATAAACTCGGCTGGTACCCGCAAGAGAGAACGATTCGGAAAGAATTCCCACGCGTTCTCCGGAGACAATTCTTCATTCTTTTCGGACAGCTCCTCCGCCGCCGCCAACGGTCCGGATTCTATCTGTCTTACTTAATGCTAGCGTCAGATGGGTGGGTGGTACATCAATTTCGCTTGCGTTCCGGGACATATGCTCGCGCGATTGCGTCAACGGTAAGGTCACACAGAGCAGTGCCGCGTGGAGAGAACGGATTTCTGCTTTATCCGTCCCCAGATTCCCCTCGTTGAAGTCCAAGGGATGGGTCTGCCAATACGTGTTAATTTCCGTCGAGGAAAAATAGGCCAACACCAACTCGTGGCGAATCACGAAGCGTCGGGATTCGGCCGCGATACCTCCCTGAGGTCTCCTGGAATGGCACTACGAGTGCAACTAAAATGGAGAGAGGGGCGCCTCGAATCCAGAGAGATTCACCAGGGAAAGATTCGTTCGATCCGCAGCAAGAATTCTGGATATCACACCGATCGAAGCGAGCCCATCGGGACTAGACCGAGAGTGATGGAAGCGATCCCGTCAGCGAACTCACTCTTGTCGAACCGTTGGGAGAAGTCATTATAATTTAGAGCTCTGCGAGAGAGGTCCGATGTCGAGGCCGTCTCTCGAATTCGCACATTTAGCGTCGGGAGTCGTTCCCAGTACGGCCCTCCCTTCGGCTCGGTCTCTGCTTGCGTCTCGTGCGCGGACAGGCCCGACCGGACATCAGAGTCTTCAAAACACGCTGCTGTCAACGGTTGATTTTTTTCTGGAATTTTCTGCTCATCCTGGAGCCGGCGTGTACGCGGGAGCATAGAGGTCTGGCTCGCCTAGGGCTCAGCCTGGATAATGAAACGGGAAGCGGCGGACGAGCAGATGGGCTAGCTGTCAGAGAGCTCAGCGGTATCGCTGTATGATCCGGTCGTTGGAAAACAAGCGAAAGAGGTGTCAGGGCAAGATATTCGGGATGCGGCAACGACGCTCTGAGGACAGCTATTCGAGCCTCCATCTGAATGCACTGGCGTCTACAATTGAATAAAGAATTCTGGATGTATCACGTATACTCATATCTACGTGTTTTGGGTCCCACGGAGGGCCTCCGAATGGTGAAGAAGAACCGATAGAGCAAAAAAGAACGGAGGAGAACCAACAACAAAGGTGGCAGAAGCAGCAGAAGACGCATCGGACGTAGGAGAAAAAGAGACGAGAATGAGCAGGAAGTCTGCAAGGACGGAGGCGAGGAGGGAGAGTAAAGAATAAGAATGTCTCTCCACGGACGTATAAGGGAGTGCCGGATGAACTAGCGGAGGGAGCGAACGGAGCAACGCTGGCCAGTAAAGGATCCATTTCACGCTCGATAACCTGTCGTTCAAATTCGAAAAGCCCGCCCCCACGCCCGACCCGTGGAGATGAAGTTCCGTCCTGACGTTCTTGGTCGAACCCACAACGAGGAAAATGTCACTCGATCAGTCCCTCGAAGCCCACCCTTGGGGGGATTATTTTCTTGGTCACGGGGTCCGCTTCTGATTACCGCGTGGTCTCAAGGGTCCTGGCATCAACTCGGTTATTCTGTTCAAAGTTTCCTTATCCAGCGCGGTGTTGGAAAGCTTCGCCGGATCTGCTCGCTCTGTGAGTCGAAGCGGCTCCCCACGTTGGATAATGAAGGCGCGCACTATATTCGACGTGGCCGCCACACGCGACGGTCCACGGTGGCGACGATCAGTAGAAAGATCCCCCGTCGCTGCTAATGGACGCAGGGTCGTCTCATTCCCATTCATATGGAAGATCATCCCGTCCCCTTCGGACATTCATTTTCAGCAGGTCAGACGACCCGTCTCGATCTCATTGAACTTGTTGCAGTTCCCGCTGTCAGGAGCTCCCCTTCGCTGTCGATTCCAGTTGCTGTTGCTCTCGGCGACCGACACCGGGGATCTCCGGAGCGCACTTCCTCGACTTTTTGCTGAATAGGCCACCTCTCGGAGCTTCTAGAGAGTCCACAAATCGGATGCCAAATCAGCCAGAGATTAAATAGATGAAAATAGAAACACAAGGCGACTCGTACGATGTCTCGTTTCGAGCTCCGATGCGTAGACGTCGACGGATCACAATTGTCCCTACTAAAACCTGCTGAATGATAATAATTATTCAGTAAGAAAGTCAATCGGTCGGTGCGACCATCAGTCGTGTTCGTGAATTTCCTTGGCGAGTCAACAAGTTACGTCAGGCTGTTCGACCATCCGTACGGTCGAAGCTGGTCAGCTATTCAGCTGTTCATTGGTCAGTTGGTCGGTCGGTTGCTCGATCCGTCACTCCGTCCGTCCGTCGATCTGCCCGCCCCACGCAGCGATAACAAAACGTTCTGTCACGTCAGAGCTTCTGCTAGAACAACAAATGCGCGTCGGATATGTCATTTGTAAACAGTCCACACCAACGACGGCTGTGAGGTTTCGTGGAGCTCTTTCCCGGCCTGTGACTGACTGCTCGCGTCGCAGGGCTCACGGTAAGAAAACGATTGCTTGTGGGTAGCGGAAAAGCGCTCGCAAAGGTTGAGCGAGTGCTTTCACGAGTCCAATAGTTTCGTCTCAGCAGAGCCACCTGATATTCAGGACGTCCGCTTCGATTCGAATGTGTTTCGGACGCTCGTTCGAGTGTTTATGCCTTGGCCTGGATCTAGTGAAAAGTCCACAACGGACAATTTCCTCCCAAGAGACGCAGATTCCAGAAGAAGAGCTCCAGAGGTAAAGGGAGGGAGGCGTGGTGTCGCTACCTACCTCTATCTGGGCGGCCGCATTTTTCTCTCTGCGGTGTTCCGCGAACAAAAGAACCGCAACTGATGATTGGTAGATATTGATTTCTGCCAAGTCGATTACCAATATGACGGTTGTCTATTGAATGGGCGCTCCTCCGGCTGAGAAAACAGCTGCCAAAGAATTCGGCGAGCGTAGGTTCGCCAATCGGGAGATCCTGCCAAATCGCGCGCCTTTCCGGAGTGCTGTGAATTCTTCCGGGATGATCTTTTTCTGGGGAATTCCGAATCCGAGTCCCGAATTTCGAGTTCTGTCCATCGACGTATCGCGGCGGATCCCGATCTCAAATCGATTATCATTCTTGAGAGAGTATCCCTAATAGTTATTTTCTCTCTGACATGAGCGGAATTGTTTTGTCTCTGGGCGAGGGACGCCAATCGATCGGACTCGGGGATTTCCTTCAACACACATCACAGCGAGCCGCTGCGGCGAATTAAAGACCGACGGCTTTCACCAACTCGATGGTCGCGGGCACAGTTTTCTCGGAAGGTTAGCGAGCTCTGATGACGGAAACCCGAACATCTAGCGATGGAGACGGGGTCTCCGCCGCGCCAACGAGATGAAACTCTTCGCGAAACACTGAATATCCATCATCATGTGGACGCTGCCGGCGATTCCCGATTCTTTCTAGGGAGCCGATGGTATAGACTCACATCGAGTAGAGCCCGCGACGTGTCGCCAGCTTGTCCCGTTCCGGACGCGACGACAGCAAACGTGACTTGAGTGACAACCTAACTATGTAGGTCCTCCAGGATTTCCTCTGTCACAATCTATGCGAGACCAGAACTGAGGAATTCGGCGGGACGACATTTTGGAAATCCCGACTTCTTGCCCGGTCCTTGCTCGTGGGCGTAGAGCGGAACGCCACCGAGCGAAGAGCCAGCGACAGAATCCTAAGCTGGAGACTTCCGGGGCGCCGAAAATTCGCAGGGCATCCGCTTCTGGGAACTCGATCCATCCGAAGAAAGAACGAGGCAAAATCGAGAGGGAGCCCGCCCAGTGCGCGTCACAATGTCCCCTGCGAGCAGCCCGGCACCGCACAGACTCCATGGATTTTTAGGGACTGTAGGAAGACTGACTGGACTCTGGCTGACCGCGGCGAAGTGCCGGGGTAGGCGAAATGCATATCGGTAAACACTTCACGACCCTCAGGAGACAGCGATGATTTTTCTCGCGCAGTACCAAACGCGGACGCCTGACACAGAAACCCTGATTTTTACTTTTCCTTAAACACTGTACGGAGACGTGAGCGAAAAGAGGAACGCACGAAGTGGGGAACGATGGAGTAAAAGTCAAATTAGCGCTGACCCTGACCTCTGGTTCACGTGTCTGCGAACTAGTCCAGTTCCTTGGCGCACTTGAGCCGTGAAAGTGACTGCAACTTAGCCGCAACAATGACTGTCCGGTGTGAATATTTGACCCAACACCGAAGCAAAGAACTCAGCAGGGCCGAACAGAGGCCGACATGTATGCTGGAAAGGGTTACGTGCCGTCGGCGTCGAGGAGACCGAATTTCTCGCGGGCTATGCGAACGTGTGTTGTATGAGCGATTTTCGTTCGATATTACGGGGAGTAATCGAATGACCTTCTTCGCGCTTGCTTCGCGAGACCGGGGGGGGGGGGGGCGTCCAGCAGGACGGTCAAAAGGACTTCCGTGAAATCTGAGCGAAATTCTATTCGCAAGGCGTCGCATATCCGCGGATTCTCAGTTCAATTAAACGACAATGATCTTATCTGCTCCGACGAATGACTCGCAAGAGAGAGAGCTAGAGAGCGAGCGAGGCACGAAAGCTCATGAGAGAGGCATTCTGTTCGGATAAATTAGTGAACAATAGGAATTTGCATGCAATCGGCCCGTTGATACACGCTTCTATTCAGGTGCTATGCGATTCGTACGGAGAGGCTGTTGTACCACTTTTCAGTTCGTAGTGCATTGTCAGAGGCGCTGTGTGTACACGCTGCGATCCAATTCAGCTGATTGAAGACTTCAGGCAAGTTATCGAACGCGTTCGAGCGCGGACAAGCCAGTTGCAAACATGCGTCCGTAAGATCATTGAGTCGCTATTCTTCTTTTTCTCGCACGCGAGCGTTGGTGGGCCCGCAAGGCTATCAACGATACGCCGTTGAATGGAAGAACAGTGACATTTATTTTCTATTCTTCGAATCCACTGGAACAGTCAGAGATGTGCGAAGATCGAAATCTACAGTCTTCCGCTCCGTGACGGTTAGTCGGATTTGACGGCCATTTCGCTTTGCGGGGTCGCTTGCCTGTCGGATCCCGATCGGCATCTCCTTGTGGCATCTTGAAATGCAAACAACCGGCGCAGCGGTTGTTTCGACGTGTTCTCACCCTTTGTCTCCGGCCTTGACTCTTTCGGTGGGACAGAGGCGAGCTTGCCTAATCGAGTGGTGAGTTCCGCGAGGTAGAAAATCCCAATTGAACGGGTCGATAATAATAAATAGAGTCAAAGGGAGGAAGCCGGGAGAGGGGGCTGTGGGAGTGACCGTGCCGAATCTATGAAGAAGTGCATCTCAATTATCTGGAAAGCGATCGGGAATTCTTCGACGACGGCCAAGTAGTCGTGACGATGGCGGCGGTGTTGGCAGCGGCAACAGCTCAAAGTCCACCGTGAACACTCCCTCCGAAAATAGCAGAAGGAACACGCATTGTTGCACCGCGTCGCCGCATGGTATCCGCGAGCTCGCGCGGTCTTTTCGATCGGTCGCCCGCTCAACGGCTCGTTCGTTCGAAATACTTGCCACACCACACCCTTTTGTCATCCCCTTTCATATTTATATATCCATATATTTCCTCAGATTCATTTATGTGGATGCTTTGTGAGCCAAGTCGGCTTGCGGCAGCGCACTTTGAAGAATGGCCTCACCGCAAGGATTTTTCGGCCTCGCGCCGCTATTGGCTCAAACCCATACGACACACGGGGCTAAGGGCCGCTCAAGCGGACCGAGGAGCGCGCACACACGTCATCAGACAGTTTGTCACAGATTTGCGCATCGATAGTAGAGGGGATCGCGATTCAAAATCAAGGCCCACCGGTACGCTTCCATCATCCCTCACAGCGAGCGATACATCACCGTTCGCTGCGCTTGACACTATGACTCCGATGGGAATTGTCTGTCCGTTCAGGTGTCCCGATCTTCTAGCGCGCGTAGAGTCACGAGCGCGCGCGCGCGAATAGTGACACCCGTCTGCTGGTGTTATGTAAAACGCAGCCTAGCGGGGATCACAGCGAAATGCGCGGATAGTTTCGCGTGCGATTCTGCTAGATGTCTGTCGCCCTACCTTGACACCAGGAATGCAGAAGTGAGCAAGCCGCCTTCCCACGCACAATTCCGCCGACTAGTTCCCTCTGACTCGTCGACTTGAACTGTCAAGTGCTAGTACGCTAGAGCGGACAGCCGCTGTGGACTTTCTCCTCTGACCGAGCAGAAAGTTCCTCAGGCACGCGGTCCTGCGAGAGGTTCCTTATTAGAATTCCGACGCCGTGACGACGAGACCTCGGTCATTTTCGCCTACGGCTCGAGTCTCAGGACGAACGAAAAGAAAAAAACGTAGCATCAGGTACGCTGCTAGAATATGGAATCCTTATGCGCGGAAGGGGACTTCCTTGAGTGCGGACTTCCCCCTATTCGCTCAGCTCTCATGTCCCGTACGAAACTTCCGAACGAAAAACGCAATCGTGTCAACGCTCGAAATAGATCGTGCTCTGCATCGTCAGGACACCTGCGTTCGGTCAGATTGGACTAAACCTGACCAACGGCAAAGATTGACCTTCGGTAGGGTCAGCTGAGGGTGCTGTTTTGCAGATACCGTGTCTGGTGGTGCTGTCATTTTTGAGGAACAAGGGAAATCGGTTCAGCTCCTCGTGCAATACCAGACGATGTCAGTCGCTCACAACTCACAATGGCTCGAAGGCCTGCCCACGGCACCGAGGTTTGGAGCGCTTGTTGATCGGAGAATTTAGCTGCCAGCGCGAAATTTAGCCGCCTCGATATCGATTATCTATATCGGAAGCGTCTGAATCTCACAGTTGTGGACTCACGCTGAGATTTATGAGTTTAATTCGACGCGTGGGTCATTGCGGAGGCAGGCTTCGGAGCCTAGCCTCAGAGTGCATACTTCCCTTAATCACCGAGGAACTCTTGAAATGCATGGATTTGCATAAAATATCACGACGTTCACCTCATCAGGGAACTGCGGGCGGCCAAAAACAACCCTGGATTCTCGCGCTTTGAGATGAGCACGGGTCTTACGCCTGAGGGCGGATCCGTCTTGGGAGAGAACCGTGCACTCGAGCGAAATCCCGAAGGAAGTCGCGTTCCCCCCGTATCCTACCTTTTTCCCTCAAGTTCGAACGTTTCTTATTGTGCCGACGTCAGCCGTTGGCTTCTGAGTCAGGTCAAAGCTCGACAGCTCTACTATTTGAACATCTCCGCGGAATCGAATCATCCTGGAGTCCACTCCTCCTCCATCTCGACTTCTTTCTTTTTTGGCTGTGAACTCCCAAAGGCTTTGATTATCGAATGGAGCCCGTTGGGAGCTGGAGATATCTTACCTTCTACTACCATCTAAACGGCACTCAGAAACTCCACGAGGAGAGGATACGTTCACACGTTCGCCAATCATTCGAAAGCCACTCAGCCGTCCATTTAGGAGTCGACTGCTTTAGAAGCCCAGTGCAGGACACTTTGTACATCCATCAAAGTGAACCGCTAATCGTTTTTCGGCCGGTTCGTGCTACGGCGTATTCTGCGACGACGACAGCTCTCGATATTGCTCGAGCCAAATGCCATCGCTCGTCGTCTCCCCTTGTCACGGAGGGCGCGAATGGCTCCTCGATGGTTTACTCAAACGCAAGCCCATTCAGATCCGATCCGGCGAACGATCCGAATTCCTAGGCGCTGTCCCTGCAGAAGAACATTCCTCGCTGTTCGATGAAGAACTTCACGGATCACATCCGCTCCGGATACCCAGACCTCGATTCCCGCGGGACTCCTGGATCACTCTACCAAGGGTTGTTGTTTTTGTTGTTGTTGCTTGCTCCAAGAGTACGGAGTCTCCTCCAGAGTGCATGTCCTCGTTCAGCGCCGTGTCACGAACTGATTCGAGGAACTTTCCTCTCTAGATCATCAGCTCAATCGAAACACCGTAACATCATGTTTTCCACCGAGATCCAACGAGGCAGCCCTCGACCATCTTACCGACCGACGGTCCGTTAGACTGAATAAGCTGAGTGACTGACTGACGGGCGGCTGGACGGCTTGACGAGACATGAGGCAGTGACACAGAAACGTGTCACGGAAGCGTCCGGACTTTACGACTCTATCTTCATCCACCCGACTACAGCTTGTTGTTGTTGTTGTTTTCCTGTGAGCCCTAATTTAATCATCCCATTATAAGCGACCGAATTTTATTGCCTCCCCGACTTTCTGATTCGCCTATTGCGGTGTTTGGCGTTCTCGAACGGTGGGGCTTAAAGGATGGAAGCTCGACCGAGGACGTTCGCACAAGAAGCTCCACTCAAGCGGTTCACCTTCACGATGCGCGGAATCAGATAGCGACATCACTGCGGAGACAAGTACTCGCCGCCGTCATCGTTACCATTGCCGCCTCTAGCTAGAAGGCGCCGGCACAACACCAGAAGTGGCATCGCCACCATTCGCTCCAAGCAGCTGGATTCCTCGGCCTGCGCGCATCGGGAGCTCGCCTGATCGTTCGTTGGAGAAAAACTCCGACCAGCTCTGAGTGAACTCGAGGATTTCCATCGAATTTTCCTCTCGTCACAGTGGCGGACATCACTCGGCTGTGACCTACTCTCGCGCAGAAGTGCCGCATTCCGAATGGGCTCGAGAACTCTGTTGACATCTGAGCTCGGTGGGAAAGTGCACCCAATTTGATTATCGTGTGGAGAAATCGGCTCTGGTCCGTATCGTATCTGGCGTGCCGCATTGTTTGTGTCGGTTTGTGCGCATGGACGAGAAGGACTGTGGCCTCGAAGAGCCGCGTCAAGAGTGGTTCGTGAGACATCGGAATCGACGGGAATAATATTGTAATTCGAGAGGCTTGAGCAGTGAGCAACATTTGAACAGGGTGAGAATCAGGGAATAACGATTCGAATCGATCCCTTCCAGGTAATCGCATCCTGGGAAATTCCTGACTGCGAGTCGATTGAGGAATAGTCCGACCAGGTTCTTCACTGCCTCTGGAAGACTACGACCGAGGAGATAGTACTCGAGTCAAATCCAACAGGAAGGAAGCATGGCGAGCACCAGCAGATCTCCTCTCGCAACGGCGAGTGACAGTTTGGGAAAAGGTGAGGGTTTTCGAATCGGGATGAGAGGCGCGAAGTGATGAATTCTCCTTATTCCTGGATGTCTACAATTATGATCCCCGACGACAATATTCTATAGGATAGTTTCGATACAGCTGGCTGGAATATGCTTGATGCGTCCCCCTTGGCAGCGATTCAACTGGATCGGACGAATCATGGACTGGAATCGCGAATTCTCGATAATTTTCTGATCGCTGAGCACTCCCCTATCTGTCCCAGCAATGGGAGGTGTGGTTTAGTCCCGAGCCCGATGGATTCTGTTTCACTCCTCCCGAGTTCCGGAAATCTATGTCGAAAAATAATTTCTCTCCTTGTCTGAGAATCATCACCAAACTCCTGTCATCGCAACCTAACGCTCTCTCTTTCATTTGGTGGTTCGCTCTGTTGGCCGAACATGTTCCCATGTCCATTCAGAAATGTCGATTCGGATATGGTGGAATCGGGGAACTCCTGCACATCGGGGCCCGACTTCAATATTTCGGTCACGTTTCCAACGTCGGTCTGTCCGTCGTTTTATAACTGCAAAAATGGCGGTCGCTGCAGCGATCGATAGCAAGTCGCTCGACGGAGCGATGCCTCCTGATAACCAGTCGAAAAGTCGCTCGATCGGGATCGAGAGAAAAAGAGAAATGAAGACGAGCACCGTCTGCTCGCTGGCTTGCGTACCCGCTCGCGCGCCTGTATTGGTACATGGCTGACAAGGTCGGCTGCGGTGCGCTCTGATAGACAGATACCGAACGTCCTGTCCACACAACTAAGGCCAACTTCGCCGCCATTCCAGACCTCGACAAAAAAGACGTTGACTCGTACTTGACGTCCCCTCGACGTCGATCGGTCGTAATCGACGACGACCGCTGTGTGGAGATTCCCATTCAAATGAATCCTCAATTGGACGCGTCCAAATTGCGTTCCGTTGCGGGTCGTCCCCCAACCCCGATTCCCAGCGACGAAGAGGAAGACGAAGACGATGAAAAAGACTCCCCCACGTGCGAAGAAGGTGAGATTATAGTTGTCATCGACCAGAAGAGCTCTGTTTGTAGATGGTCGTGGGGAGACACATCCGGAATGAGATGTATTTTCCCTCCGTCGCTATCAGCCGCTCGGCTCGAAGCTGCGGAGAATTAGTGTCGCTCGGAGCGGCCCGCTCTTCCCCTGCTCTTTTTTTAGTGCGGGCCTCTCGGAGTCCCGCTATGGAACGTAAAGACGCACATCTGGAAAATCTCTTAGCGCCGAGGCATCACAGATATAGGCAGTCGATAGTTTTTTTTTATTGCTGCCGAAAACGAACACGCTCGGTAATTAATCTGTGTATAACGACCACGGCTTTCTCAACGGGGGCCGAGGGTCATAAAATCGGGTCTCTGCTTTTCCAGCCTTTGTAGGGTTTGGACTTCGCTTTTCGTGATCTCTTTATCTTCGCCCCGTGTCTCGGTATCCGGTAGCGATCGACTGAATTGATTTTTTTGTCCGTTCCATCCCCACGTCTCATCCCCGATTCAGTAGATACTGTCGAGATTCTCCATTCGATCTTCGATCCTATCGATACAGGTTCGGACAATCCTGGGATCCTCTCGTACCCAAGGTGTTCCGCAAGCCGCAAACTAAATTGGTAACCGATTTCATTTCTGGGATGATTACCGATTGTCCCGATCGTTCAAATTTTGGTTTCTTCTTCAGGCAAGTTCGGCTTGGAGGACCGAGACGGTATTGGATGTCACAACGAGGAACTCAAAACCCCCGAGAAAGCGGGTGCCGCAACGAATTGCACCGACGACTCTCTTCATTAGGTACAGCCGACCGCCGTAGGATCGAAACATCGTGTTCCATCGTGCGTCTCTATTCGGATCACTCATGTTGATACAGCACCGCGGAAATCTGATACAGGAGCAGATTCCGATGAATGACGGAGCGAGACTGCGAGACTCATCGCAGCAGCTCAATAAACCGAAAGTGACATATGTACGTTTATCGAGCAACATTCGCGAAGACATTTCCACGTACACGACTGAGCGATCAGCGAACGAGTGGAGGCCTCTGGGGAGGCTGAATGACGAAAATCAAAAGCTCGAAATCTGAGACGCTCCGTTGCCGTTCGAACTGGCCGAATGTTCCTTCGATAGGAAAAATGGAGGGAATGGTGATTATACCTGTCAAATGTTACCTCCTTAATAAAATTGAAAATCTATGTTTTTAAATGTTTCGTATTCTGCGGACGCGTTCGTTGTGTGCCAATGGATGGGTACGTGTTTCTGTCCGTCCATCCAGCCATATATCTATACAACCATCGTATGTTCACCGAGTGAGTCCTGAAACGAAGTATCGGCGTCGGATAAGGCCGCAAGAAACAAAGATCAGCGTCGCGGAATCCGCAGCGACCGCTGTATCGACTTCTGTCCGAATCCATTATTGTGTGACCGCAAAGAAGCTTTCTGGAACTTCAGCCGGATCACCGGCCATCAAGAGCGGAACCGAATCCCCGAGCGGTCAGACGCACGCGTTGCGTCTTGCTGACCTTCTTCTGATGTTTTTGACTCGTGATTGTCATCGAAAATTGGACAAATCGCCGAGTGGCAGTCGATTCGAGATGCGGGCACCATTCGCAAACGTTGCCTTCCATGGCCGTAGGGATGACCGGCGGACGAGGGAACGAGCGACCGTGCGACCGGGCGACGCAATGAGAAGATGGTCAGGACGCGAGCGAGGAGTCTTTTCGCATGATGCACTCTCGACGTTTTAGGATTGGCTTCCGAGCTTCCTCTGCGTCGGTCGTCGGAATATGTTGTTTTTATATCTACGGTCGAGAATTTCTCCCATTCATCCGAAAGATATACAGCGCTTCGTCCGGGGACGACGTCATTGGTCAATCGGTAAAATCGGCGTCAATAGGCCAAGTGCAAACCAGTCCCATCCGACCTTGAGCACCGAGAGATGTACTATCTTTCGATCCGCTCGCATCCGGTCGGGTCGCGGTCGACATGCGTGTTCCCGATCGCAGACGCCCGCGCGACGATGCCGGTAATACCAGCGAATGTTTACTGCGTTTCAATAAACCTAACGGAATAATATTGGCCTTGCTTTGTGAGCTGTTCTACGGTCGCTTTATACGACATTACTATCACGATATACGAGAGCGGCATTATGATCATAAGCTATGGGATCCGTTCCAGACATCGGAGTAGTGTTCTACCACAAGGCCGAGAGACCTCGCTTACGTCCCCGGAAAACCGACGCTGCAGGTCCCGCGTCTCACCCGACAGACTTGAATGAGAAAGCCGCAGGTATGATTCCTCGTCACGTCTCTTCCGTGTCGCAAACGTCACGGTAAGCTGGGCGATATTTGCATAGACGTCCGATCGAGGTGCGTTGCGGAACGCTCGGAGGTACGATCGAGTGGCCGAATAAATAGCAATACGGTCACAGTTGGATATAAAGTGGATCACACGCCCCACTCATGGATGGAACAGATCGGTTCGATCCTCGTAGTGAGGATACAATTGCAAGAGCTATCACGGATCGAGAGGCTTCAGGTTTTGCGTTGAGCCTTTGGAGTTCCCCGTGTTAGCTGCGCGTGGGAACACTCCCGGGGGTATTCGAAGTTTCTTCTTTGATGTGAATCAAAGGCAAAAAGAAACATGGAAATAAACTTTCGACGACATCGCACGCTATGCCGGAATAACGTGCCCAGAGCTTGAATATCGGGCCTGAGGAGATCCGGGATCTGAGACTCGCGTCGATATCCATGGACCCGGGCTCTCGAGTATTCAATTATTCAAAAGTATATTATCCCTGGGGAAGAGCAGCCGACGCAAGGCCCCACTGACACGTTGCAATATCCCTCCGGAGTCGATTGCTCCACAGGACGCGGGGAGCTCGCGGGAATGTCGGCGGTGATCGTCCTGAAGCTCACAACGCTTGACAAGCGAGCGTCGTAACAGTTGACAGTTGTTGGGGTCGATCACGGTCGGTGCTGATCGGCGAAAGCACAAGAGGCGCACATTTCGGACAGACAGACTGAGTCTTTCTGTTTCGCGCGCAGTCAGCCGGGTGGGCAGTCGGGCGGGCGGACGGGCGAGCACTAACTGCAGAACACAAGGTACCTTCTCTGCCACAAGGTTCACCAGCCGCCAACACCGTCGACGACGACGCTCGGAGTCATCTTGTTCGGTCTTTCTTTCATCCATTCACGAGTTCGTTTTATTGTTGGCGAACCGCTTGAATCGCCTGCTTGTTCACTCTGGCAGCGCTTTTCTGGATTATTATTGTTGTTGCCGCTCCACTCGTAGTCGACGGCGACAACAACAACAACGATGTGAAGTTCATCGGCCGCCCACCCAAGCCTACTTGTTGCCAGGGGAGCGACTCCGCGATCCATCCCCGATCTTTCTCCGCGAATTAGCAAGCGCGAGAAACGTTCTCATGTCTGTTGAGCGGGCCAGGCTCACGACGATGCTCAGCAACCATCAGACTCGTCAGCTTGTCTTCTCGCACCCAGACAGTCATCCAGCCCCTCGCATCCACCGCGGGTGGCGTCGACGTCGGCCACCGAGCTGACTTTCTCTGTATTGCCCTATCGTGGGTGTTGCGACTTCTCTCGGCGCTTCCAAGTCAGATGTATGTTCTTTCCGACCGGATACCTCCACGCCGGGGTTCGATCTTTCAAACTAGTTTGTCGAGGAGCCTCGGGAGGGCTCATACGGAGCGTGAGCTCTACGTTCTAGCTTCATGAAAACTTCTCGCGTCTCTTTGTTCCTGATATCTGCCTCCTCGAATGCGGCAGTTTCCCCCAAAGGATCATCCCCGGACTCATTTGATCATGATGTCTCTCAGCAACGTGAAGCCCGACGGATCTTTCCCCAGATCTCTGCCGCTCCTCCTCCCGATTGCTGCGAATTCTATTGCCCCCTCCCCCCCCTCATCCAGAACGGGGTCGACTTCGGCCTCCACCGTCGGCACAATGAAGAAAATAGGCTCGAACATACCTGGGGTGGGATCTCGACATGATACCCCTTAGAATTGGGCTCAGGAGCCTTTGGAGCTCTGACCGTCTGCTCCGGACTGAATCCTCCGACGCAGCCCTGTGTCACTAAACGGAGGCTCTTTAACTGATGACGCATTCGAAAGGCAGAGAAACTCGAATCGGAACCCTGGCGTAAACCATAACGGGAGTCCTCACGGAGACTTTAACGAAAGTCCAGACGCAAATCCTGACGGGCACCCTCACGGAAATCCTGACGCGAACCACGACGGGAATCCTTACGGAAAGCGTGACAAGGACCCTTGCGGAACCGTGACAGGAGCACTCTCAGGATGCGCCCTGGAGATCCGCCCGAACTGTTTTCCTCGCGTTGCCTCTGTTCCTTCGGTAGCCGCTACGATCGGTGATATATGTCCGGTTGCTGATTCTTGGAGAGACTGACGTCTGCCTCATCGAATCTCTCATATCATTCCGAGCCCACTCCATCTCAACCGTACCAATATCACCCGCGGAGCTCACAAGTCTCATCGAGCAAGTTCACGACGAATTTCCGTCAAGTGCCCATGATGACAATTTCCGATCGGAAGATCTCTCGGCCGTCTTCATAATTAGATCCACAATCCGCCGAGGCATTTTCGGATGCTCTCTGAGGACGACCGTGCAAGACGGACCGCTAGCCCCTCACCGCTTCTCGCAAGTCATCGAGGTCGCGGGAATGCCGATATGCGAGTTGTGGGCGTAGCTCAATGAATATTCTTCCTCCTCCGGATCATACTTGGCGAGACCGAGTGAGGCCGCACTGTGCTCCCGGCCATCGAGTCGAGCCTCGACATTCCGCCCGACCAACTCACGAAGCTCGTTAGTCCTCGCGTGTGGTTTCGGAAACCTTAGGACACGAGGACACGTCTGACGGTGATCTGATGATTCACAGCTCCTGGATTGGATCTGCAACATTGTCCTGAGCATTTCTGTCCGGGGGCTCTTGGAGTTGCTTCCGATGTCGCAAGTTCCGAAGACGATGGCGAACACTCGGGAAGCTCACCTTTCAGAAGCTTCGTACGCTTGTGACATGCTGATGAGCGTTGATTTCGCCACGGAGCGACTTTCTTTTCTGCGTCATGCTCATTAACGCGGATGATCAAGTTGCCTCATGAGGAGGCAATTAGAAAACGAAGGCAACCACGTCGCAGACAAGTCGTTCAACTACTGTGGGAAGCGAACTGGACGACATCTTGTTTGAATTTTTTTTCTAGTCCGTCCTTCCAGTCGGCGCTGCATTCGCCGCTCAGAAGCCGGTGAGCATTCGCAAGCGGCGGAAAGACCGGGTCTGCCTCGGCGTTGGTCTAATTGGGAACGCAAAATATGAGATGGGAATCAGTAATTACAACGAGAACAACAGAAATATATTACGAGGAAGTAATGTATGTAATCCCGCTCATTGTGAGCGAGAACGCTCGAAAGAAAGTATCGCCGCTTCTTATGTGAAGTTGAAAACGGGCCATAAAGCCCGACTCCCACGGCCCCGAAAAATCTGATGTCGGTATTTTTCGGTTGCGGTTGATCCGGCCTTCGGTCGAGCGCCTCGTGGAGCATGCAGAATGCATGAGTTTCATTCCGGATGAGCGATTCGACTCTCGGGAGAAAAGCATCAATTGATAGACGAGCTGATATAACAACGATTTTCACGCTCGCTTCGTTCGTTGCTCGCCCGAAGAAAATGTTCGCAGAGCCCTCGCGGAGGGGCTGAGCACCCGCTTGTCTGCTCACTCAAAGGAAACCAATATCTTAAGAGGCGACGACGACAGGTTGATCCGAACACGTTGTTGCGGGATCAAGCGACCAGAACCTCGAGCCGACGAGCGAGCGGGTGGGCGGATCGACACCCCGACGTAAAAGAGGCGATAAAACAGAAGCGACGCCGCGGACTAAAATGCCGGAGCGAGTTATATTTCTTGAAGGTTGGAATAGTTACATAATGAACGCGATTCAATGACCCGTGATCCGTCCGCATTTTCTCCATTCCCGTCGCCGGAGTGAGTGCCGTTGCGTGTCTTCCCGCGGATCTTCTGTCGGTTCTTCTCGTGAACGATCGGATCTGATGTTCTCGGTAGATGTCTCGTCTCAACTATTTGCTCAGAGATGCTTGCTCTAGATCATCGTAAAAATCCGCGGACTTGGACGAAAAAAAAACATGGACTGAAGTAGCAACGATCG